ACAGCTCCAGGGGTGGGATTATGGGGAGAAGAGAAACAGCTCCAGGGGTGGGATTATGGGGGGTTAGTCCCCCCCCCTCCTCCCCATAATCCCACCCCCGGCATCTAATGGCTTATGTAAATATTTTCACACAACGTTACAAATAACAAATCAAAATTTTATGGGTACGAAGGGGGGGGGGGGGGCGGGGGGGCTAAGTCCCACCACATTTCTAATGGTTAAATAAATATTTTCACATATCGCTAGAAATAACAAATAAAAATTTTATGGGTACGAAGGGGGTAGGGGGTTAAGTTCCCCCTCCCTACATTTCTAATGGTTATATAAATATTTTCACATATTATTAGAATTAACAAATCAAAATATTATACGTAGGTACGTACCTAGCTAGACTCACATTATTTCTTATGAATATTTCAGGTAAGTAATATCGTCACAATTATTTTATTCTAAATTTATATTATCGTTTTTAAATTTATTAAACCCTTAATCATTATTAAAATATCCTAACTGGATGCGTAAAACCTTGTCCCGAAATAGGGGACATGAGTTCACGAACTTAGAAACAGAGCAAAATTTTGTCACGAAACAGGATCCAAACAAGAGGTCCGCAGAACAATTAATAAAAAAAAGTTCAAACTATATAACTATAAATTATGTATTAACTTACTGTCAAAAGACCAAAGTTTAGCATTCAAAAGCTTTCATACTGATATCATGCTTGGTTATTTTTAAATAAAATGTTAAAGTCGTAAGAGCCTTAATATACCGAAGTAGGGGGCACTTACCTTACTGCCCACTTTGAGAATACATTATTTTTTAGCGCCCCCCATTTTTGTAGTCAAGAGTCTAGCTCAGCCGGTGTCTAAGAGTCCTCCTAGTAGATGACGCCTCCCAAGCCTCTAAACAACGTCGCAAATTTTTTTCTGGGTCTCTTACCGCCCCCCTTTAAGCCTGCAGCGCCCACAAGGGGGCGTTATCGCCCACTTTGGGAAAGACTGAGTTAGACCTATAAAAAGTTTATTTCGTACAGAGTTTAACTTATGCAATATTTCAGAAATACTGATACCTGCGAGCCGGCCAGTCCTCGTCGGCCAGACATGAAAATAGGAAAAATTGCTTACCATAGTAAGTCATGGGCATTATAATATTCTGCCTCCCCTCTTTCTTCTACACCCCTAAATTACTTAGGCACGTAATGATCATCATCATTTCAGCACAGACGTCCACTGCTGAACATAGGCCTCCCCCAATAATTTCCCCATCGCCCGGTTGGTAGCGGGTAGCGGCCTGCATGCCAAACACACTGCAAGTTATAGATCGTTTCATCCACGAAGACGCGCCCCACCAATTATTGGTCGATCGAAGTGCTGGGTGCGGGGAGTTTGATCCGAGCAATCCGAGCGGCATTATTGTAGTGTGCTCATGGATAATTAATTAGCATGTACCGATAACACTCAAACATTAGCGGAAGAATGGTGGGGCGCGTCTTTGTGGATGAAACGATCTATATTTATCTTAAACTAAATTAAAATTTAGTTTTTAACGGCTTCATTGGTTTCCAGAGTGCGTGGACTACCAAGAACAGATCAAGTTTCCGTGTGTAGGATACACATACTACGCACAATTTAACGGTTCAACCCAGACTCGGTATACCCGCCGCGATGGCTGTTCCGACCCTCCTTCTCTTGTAATCGGCTCGAGCGGAGTCGATGCTAGCAGAGGACAATTCCCCCACATGGTAAGACACCCTATTGTAAGAACTATTTATTAGTCCAAACAAATAAATAAATTTTGACTTTGACTTTGACTTTGACTTATAAACGAAGAAGCTCTTGGCCTGCATCTCACCTGATGGAAAGTGATGATCAGGCGAGCTTCTTTCTTTGTTATGGCGACAAACTAAGGTAAGTTGGTAGTGGACTTTATGCCCGTTTTCACCATCAATCCCTAAATTTTAAGTGACCATAATGAAAACTAAATTCCTGTTAATGTATCACCATAGGGGTCACTTCTAAAAATTAGGGATTGGTGGTGAAAACGGACATCACCAACCAAACCGAACAGAAAAATTGCCCCCACTAGGGATCATAACCGGGGCCTCTGGATCTGAAGCTTTTCTGTTTCTTTCCTTCTTTTGAATTTTCAGGCTCTGCTCGGCTACGTCAAGGATGGGAGCAAGGTGGAGTGGCTGTGTGGAGGGACCATCATTAGCGAGCAGTTCATCTTGACTGCTGGCCACTGCACCTCGCACAAGCAGCTGTGAGTCACCAATATAGTTCCAAAATAGTGAACTGTCCTATCGATGACATTGACAGTGGGGCGCCACCGTCAATACCGGATCGCTGGTTCCGATTTTTGCCATGATGGAAACCATATAGTTGAACGATGGTAGCGCCCCCCTGTCATTGAGTTTGGTGGGACAGTTCAGCGTGGGTCATCTATAATACAGATTGGAATTTTGTAATGCCACCTGCCCCCCTAGACAAAACGCACTTTTTGATCGAATCGAAAATCGAATCCGTCAAAACTCCATACAAAAAAGGGGCTTTTCGACCACTTTTCGACTGGTTTGCGATTATAATTTGCACTTTGTCTAGACCCACTGAAGGGAAAGTAGGTCTTAATACTGTAGATAGAAAAATGTCAAAGAAAACATTCCTTTATTTTTTAAATGAAAGAGAACTACTTAATTACATTCAAAGATTTCCCTCCAGGTGGCATTACAAAATTCCACTCTGTAAACACTTTCGAATATTGTCCTAGTTTAAATAGCAAAAAAGGCACCAATAACTAACGTCTAAAGCCCGGTCCGTGAGCACGTAGAATTTTGTCCAATGACCCCTAGCTACCCATCCTTATCGCTCGCGCGTAATTATATTGCTGTCGCGACTGTGCGACTGGCACCCGCAGTGAGTGTGCGAACGCGATAGCAACATAATTACGCGCGAGCGATAAGGATGGGTAGCTAGGGGTCATTGGACAAAATTCTACGTGCTCACGGACCAGACTATAATATACCTACACTATATTTCGCGTGTATCATAATTATGCCGCATAACGTCGCGCGACCCATGACAATCCCCGCAACCTGTCATTGGCCAATGATCGCGCCGGCGATGGCGATCTGCACACGTTGGTGTGGTTGAAAGTACTTATTATTATTCTGTGATAATACTATCATAATAATAATATCTATCTATCTATCTACCTATTGTTTTCAGAGGTCCAGTATCGCTGGCAAGACTGGGCATCCTGAAGAGGTCAGACCCCGACAAGGTGGCGCGGGATTACAAGATCAAGAGGTTCCTTCTGCACCCGGAGTACAAGCCACCTGCAAAGTACAATGACATCGCTGTGCTAGAGACTGAGAAGAGGTTCGTACGATACTTTTTTTAACCGAGTTCAAAAAAAGGAGGAGATTCTCAATGAGGGCTATCGTTTTAGCGCTGACCAGTTAGCGCCACTGTAGAGTAAGGTCCTGTCATTTGCTAGTAGCGAAGACAGTGGCACCAACTGGTGAGCGCTAAAGTGGTAGGAGGACTATCGCATTTGCACTCATCAAGATGGCGCTACTGTAGAGTAAGGTCCTGTCAATCGCCAGGGGTGCCAACTGTTAAGTATAAAAACGATAGCCCTCATTCGAGTGTATGTAAGTATATTACCGCAGAACTCCGTCAATTATGAAGCGATTTCCAAAACTTTTTTGTTCTATAGGGTGTATACCCTACAGGACGGGAGTATTCCATAGGTGATCCCACTGTCACCAAGTCAGGGTCTGATGATGGAACCTAGGGAAATCGAGGGCAACCCTCAAATTTATTAGGCATGTTTATTGTTTTTCATTTTTTTCTTAAGTTAATCAAGTAAGTATTTGCGCCTGGAAATCATCATCTCATATTGAGGAGCTGATGATAGAAGGTAAAACTCCTTAATGCTTAGGAGTTGGAGGATAATTCTTTTAATTTTATAGATAAGTATAGTTTCTAAAGTTTTTCAAGTGTTTGCATCAGCAAGTAGTTATCAGCTCATCATTATGAACTGGTGACGGTGGGTACAACTCCTTAACACTTAAGAGTTGGAGGTAATTCTTTAAATATTATAGGTACAAATAGACCGACAGTGTATTCTTTCATGTTATAAGTACTTTTAGTGTATGTTTTTTGGAGTCGGTTTTATTTTTTTGTTAAAAATTAACCGAAATAGAGACTAATAGGTTGTTAGCCGCCAACACATATCAAAAGGTCTATTCCACTTCGATCACCTGGATTTGATCACCCAGGTGATCAAAGACTCCAGGCGACACTTTCTGTCCTTTGATCACCCACGAATAAGTCCACTTCGATCCCCTAGGAGATTTTATAAATTTTATTTTATCCACAACGAGGAAGCTCTTGGCCTGTATCATGTACATGGTAAGTGATGATCAGGCCGAAGGTGGAAGCGAGCTTCACCCGGAATCCTCAACCACGGAGGAACTGGCTATCTTACCTCTAACTGCCGTAACACAACAATGCTGCAATGGCGACAGACTTAGGTAAGATGGTGGTAGCTAGCCAGGCGGACATAGAACAAGCCCTACCACCAACCAAACCGAACAGAAAAATCTGCCCCCACTGGGAATCGAACCCGGGACCTCTGCCTCTGAAGCAGGTGGTCTTACCTAGACCACAGAGGCGGTTGAACATGGTCCACTTTGATCACCTGGCTGATCAAAATGAAATAGACCTATCAAAAGCGGCGTGTGTCCCAGGCGCCAAGCCATGGTGCCTCCTATGGCGGTTCCTCGTTGTGGGTAAAAAAAATCGATATCACAGTGTGCAGTCAATGGCCCTGCCGGAACAGGCCGATTGCAGCACTCTGGGTCAGAACCCCTGAAAGGAGCCCTGCCAACTAATTTACGAATCGCGGTTCGCTCGCCCACCACCAATAAACAACCACTTACCGGTGGGAGCAGGCTTTTCTTCCACGTACGAGAGGACAGGGTGGTTTCTTCTGATCCTCTTCTAAAATCTAGGGAATGTGGTCTGCAGCCACGCGGTTTTCACGCGCAGGTCGGATCCCAGCTGGTAGTCAAAGATGGGGCACAGAGATGGTTCACCCACAACACACCTCAACATTTCTCAGATGGAAATACAGTCAAAATGTATCGAAATTGAATATATTTGCAACAGCAATTTAAACGTTGCAGCTCGCGGCGAGGACGGCCATCACACTCGTTTTCTCAGTAAATCAGGATCGACTCCCATCGATATGCTCGTAGGAATCGAGCGTTGCTATTGGTTGATTAAAACGAGCGAAACGAATGAAGTTTTAAACGAATGTTGGCGCGGCACGATTTGAAATAGCTACGTATACTGTACACTCTGTCACTGCTGTTTCCAGGATAGTGTTCCTGAACAAGCACATAGTCCCGGCGTGCCTGGACGCGGGCGATGCTGACGTCGAGAGCGACGCGGAGATGGCGTCCGCTACCGGCTGGGGAGCGCTGGGCGACGGCGAGCCGAATGCTGACGTGCTGCAAAGAGTGAGTAGTTTTAACGACGTCGCTGACTTTTAGATCTCAAATACTCGACGCACAGTGGTGCTACAGCTTTGGTGCCACAGTAACAAATGCTAAGGCGGACGTATTCTGTCAGGACACAGCACTTTTTTTTTATTGGCCAACACTTTTCATTTTGAACAAAAAATGTATGAATCGTTGATGACTTTTAGATCTCAAATACTCGACGCACAGTGGTGCTACATACAGCTTTGGTGCCATAGTAACAAATGCTAAGGCAGACGTATTCTGTCAGAATACAGCACTTTTTTTTGTTGGCCGGCACCTTTGATTTTGGACCAAAAATATATGAAACGTGGATGATGTCCTTTCTTTTATTTGTGTAGACTAATTAAATAGTTCTTACAAATCGTAAAACTTAGCTCTTATGGATTATCCACTACATGTCTCATAATCAGTTTATCAGTTTACCCTAGCAGCGCTTCGATAGTACTAACCTTTGAGCTAGACCCCCATCGTAACATGGCAAGTATGGGGTCCAGCTGCATTTGCTTCGCAAATTCACCGAATTTACCTGCAGAAATTCGATAGAAATTCTACCTAATTATTTTACAGCCATCAACAGCTGTCTGTGGTCTTTGTCGCGGAGACGCGTTTCACATGTCTAGACGTGGTATCCTATGGACCTCGTACCGGATCCTTTAACACGATCCCAAATTTCCAAGCACAAGTAAATAAAATAATCACTTGCTAGGTAGCTACTTAGTTACTAAGTTAGAAGTAGAAAGATTTTATTAAGAATATTGGGAGCATTCGAATACCAAATCGATTTCAGGATCATGCGATACCTCATTGCGATTGGATGTATTAGTTTTTTTCACTGATTTTCAGATGGATATCGTCAAGTTTTCGACGGAAGAATGCTCGGCATTGTACAAACCGTACCGTCTCCTGAAGACTGGGTTAGACAACTCCACGCAGATCTGCTACGGCCACCGACAGATACCTCGGGACACGTGTAAGGTGAGAGCTTGATAACCTCATCATCATCATCATCATTTCAGCCACAGGACGTCCACTGCTGGACAAAGGCTTTCCATAACGACTGGTCCTGCGCTGCCCGCATCCAGGTTCTTCCCGCGACCTTCACCAGATCGTCGGTCCACCTAGTAGGAGGACTAGGAGGCCTGCCCACGCTACGTCTTCCGGCCCGTAATCGCCACTCGAGAACTTACTTCCCCAGCGGCCATCAGCTCTACGAGCTATGTGCCCCGCCCACTGCCACTTGATTTTGGCAATTCTGCGGGCTATATCGGTCACTTTCTTGGATGCGGGCAGCGCAAGACCGGCCGTTATAGAAATCCTTGGGAGAGGCATTTGTTCAGCAGTGGTCGTCATTTGGCTAAAACGAACGAACATCGTCATCATTTCAGCCACAGGACGTCCACTGCTGAACATAGGCCTCCCCCAATGATTTCCACATCGCCCGGTTCGTAGCGGCGTGCATCCAGCGCCTTCCTGCTACCTTTACGAGGTCGTCGGTCCACCTTGTTGATACACTTAACATGCTCTCAATATTTTCAGGGGGACAGCGGGGGCCCCCTCCAAGTGGAGTATAGAGAAGTAAACTGCATGCACAAGGTGATCGGAGTGACTTCTTTCGGCAGAGCGTGCGGGAATACCGGCCAGCCTGGCGTGTACACGCGAGTCAGGCCCTATGTCCCCTGGATAGAGAGTGTAGTGTGGCCCGCCCAGGGGACTGATAAATGTGTTTGCTTCTAAATAACCTGTAGGAACCTATAAGTGGTTTACTTATAGGTTCCTACAGGTTGTTGCCTAATTTGTTATTATTATACACTGCAGTTTCAGTAGTATGTACCCACATGTTTCCTGTTTTGTTGCATGTATCTATTAAATTGCTTAAACGAACTAATTTTATATTGACATCTGCTGTACCGCTTATCAAGCAAATAAATGAATTTTGATTTTGATTTGATTTGCAAAACCCTGGTGTTCCTAAATAAATAATTTCTACGACACTAGCTTCAGTGATCTTACGTCCCTTGGATAGTGTTGTGTGCCCGCTCAGGGGACTGATGTGTTTTCTACTAAATAGATCATTTATACGTTACTAAGTTCGGCGATCTTACGTCCCCTGGATAGTGTTGTGTGGCCTGCCCAGGGGACTGACAAAAATGTGTTTCCTACTAAATAACATTTCTATATCACTTAAAGCTGACCTTACATCCACTGGATTGTGTGTTGTGAGGCCCGCCCAGGGGACTTGAAATATGTTTTCTATTAAATAAATATATTTTAAATGATATTACGCTTGCTCTTAGCTCACCAAATACGCTTGACAGGTGTAAGATAGATTAGTAACATAACCTAGGATTAATTTCAAATTAAAATAGATAATGTACAAAATTCAAGTCTTTTATTTTCTCAGACCAGGGGACTGAGGATAGCTACTAAATAGATTTATCTTAAACCAGCTCAAAAAACTGTCACAGACGGGACTTTGCATTCACGAAATGTCGCTTTGGCGAATAACTAAGTACTAAATAAGCTACGGTGACATTTTTTCCATAGAAATTACTAAAGCCCGGTCTCTGAGCGCGTAGAATTTTGTCCAATGACCCTAAGCTACCCATCCTTATCGCTCGCGCGTAATTATATTGCTGTCGCAACTGTGCGACGAGCGCCCGCAGTGAGTGTGCGAGCACGACAGCGATATAATTACGCGCGAGCGATAAGGATGGGTAGCTTGGGGTCATTGGACAAAATTCTACGTGCTCACGGACCAGGCTTTAAATCTCAGAAAGTACTTACTCTGTGATAACAATTATTATTTTAGAATTTAATAAAGAATTTCTTAAATCTTTTAAGAAATTACCAATTCGCTAGGATGTCATATTTTGCAGATTAATGGCGGTTTTAACGGATCACTCAATTCATTACTTGTCTGAACGGAGTGGTCTACAAATTAAGCTCTACACCTATAACGTGAAAGAAATTAAACAAAATATTAAAAGAATAATTTTATTACAAGAATAAATACGTAAAGAAACATTATTAACATTTTCAATTGCATAAGTACTATAGTTTATCACACAATTTAAATATTTTTTATAAGCAATCACGATTTTATTTTACAACAATAAAAGTATTATAAAACATGGCAAATTGAGGTGTAGAATCACCATCAATCTATTGCCGTAGTTCGTGACACCCAAAGTGGCCAAAAAGTTGACAACACAACCTTATTCCAATGAGGGCTATCGTTTTTATACTTAACAGTTGGCACCCCTGGCGATTGACAGGACCTTGCTCTACAGTGGCGCCATCTTGATGGGTGCAAATGCGATAGTCCTCCTACCACTTTAGCGCTCACAAGTTGGCGCCACTGTCTTCGCGACTAGCAAGTGACAGGACCTTACTCTACAGTGGCGCTAACTGGTGAGCGCTAAAACGATAGCCCTCATTGGAATAAGGTTGTGTTGTCACTTTTTGGCCACTTTGGGTGTCACGAACTATTTGACGCTGACTGTATCTGTGACCTAATTCACGTATTTTGACAGTCAAGATCTCGCTGACGTTCAGAAGTCGTCCCATTGATAAACAGTTCTAAATCCGTATTCACAAGAGTCATTTTGATAGAACATTACTCGATAAGATCGCATTCAGCGATTTGTTGTCGTTGAAGTTTTGTTACGTGAATAAGGCTACTGGCAGGCCTGGCTCACTCCGCGCGGTACATCCGATAATTACCTACAGCGAAGCGCCCCGCCGGCGGGTATTATATCAGTCGAGTGTCACGCGCGCGCCCGTCAGGACGCTGGCGAGCGTTGTAGTATGATTATAATTCTATGATCGAAGTATTATTACAAAATGGACATAAAGAGAAAGAAATATTATTGTGCGGCGTTCGGGTGTTTAAATTCGAAAAGAAATCTACCGGATTTATTTTTTTTCGCTTCCTAAAGATGCTGAAAGGTATGTTGGCCATGTAGGTAATCAATAATTCTTAGGATAGTATAGGAACCTAACCTACCATGACTACTGCTCAGAATGCGTTCGTTCGTTTCAGCCAAATGACGTCCACTGCTGGACAAAGGCCTCTCCCAAGGTTTTCCATAATGAATGCGTACTTACATATATACGTGTCATGAGGTACGTACCTCATGACATATAAGTAGATTAATCATTTTTTTCACTAGACAGCAACCCTAACAGCTTAAGAAGAGTTCAGAGGCACGCNTTTGCCTCTGGTAAATTAGAGAGAATCATGCTACTGCAGTGGAGACTAAATGACCTGATGATGATCAGACCCAGGGCTCCCAGCCTGAACGGGTGACGCTGAGGATTCGAGGGTCGGTGCATTGACGCAGCAGGCAGGTCACCTGGGAATGTACATAAAGAAATCAATCTTACCGTGGATAACATAAAACTAATTTATTTTTGCAAATAGAAAGAAAGAAAATACATTTATTCGGCACACTGGAACAACAAATTACAGAAATTAATACGTTAAAAAAAATAGGCTTAAGAAGCACTTTTACACGTCCCAGTACTAACCCTACCACTGCTTCGGGACAGTAAATGGGCCAGTGCTGAGAAGAAGCAGAGCAAGAAACTCAGTCACTATTGTCAGCCTCCTTTTTAAGGGTTTACAGTCTTTAAAATATACATACATAGTCATAAATATTGATGCAAGCTAGGCAGTTAAACATTCCAAACATAATGTACATAACGTAAGAGGTTTTTAAAATAACTTAAAAAAACGAACTGCCTAAGGTGGGAACGACCTTTCGCTTGCCGGGCGACTACTCCATATGAGCTACTTAGACACTCGATGAACCCGTCGACATTTTCAAGTGTAACATGCCGCCACCAACCGGCCATTGTGGAAATCATTGGGGGAGACCTATGTTCAGCAGTGGACGTCTTATGGCTAAAATGATGATGATGATGAATTTGCTGTTACGGTCAGCTTTTGTTTCATCATCAAGATCGCTGAAGGTATCCTGACTATCCTCTTTTTGTAAGATCTGTCGGATGCTACTGATGATGATGATGACACTGCTTAAATGACCTAGTGTTGATCTGATGATGTTTTTTTTTATGTGACAGGAGGCAAACGAGCAGACGGATCACCTGATGGTAAGTGATTACCGTCGCCCATAGACACCCGCAGACCCAGGGGCGTTACAGGTGCGTTGCCGGCTCTTAAGGTGAAGATACGCTCTCCTCTTGAAAGCTTTCAGGTCGTATCTGTCCGGAAACACCGCAGACGACAGTCCATTCCACAGTTTGGTTGTACGGGACAGGAAGTTTCTGGAGAAACGGACTGATTGTCGAAGATTGATGATGTCACTGACCTGTTCCACCACGCTGTACTCCTCTTTTTCCTCCAGATCGCTGAAGGTATCATCAAGTAGCCTGACGATTCTTTCTTTGTAGGCTCTATCGGACGCCATTACCACAAAATATAACAGAAGACAAACTCCATACTAAACGCGCTCGAGCCACGCACACATAGACAGACACCGCTCGAGCAAGACTGTCTTGGACGAATGCGAGCGCGACGTGGCGCGACAGACAGACGTTCGCCACACGTTCCCTGTGGTTCGCTTGAGTCACGCGCCGGTCAACCGCCTGTGATATTATTTTGTTTTGCGCAATTGACGAAAATGAGTGAACAGAAAAAGTCGTATTTTAATTGTTCGGTATTTGGTTGCTTAAACTCATCATTGAATGCCGAATTTTCATTTTTTAAATTACCAGTTGATTCGGGGAGGTAAGTAAGTTATTTATTTGAATTTCAATTGAAATTGAAAGCCAACTCAATTATTAGGAATATCGAATTGTTTAGAGAGGTTTTAGGAATTATTAGATAACTAGCTTTTGCCCGCGGCTTCACCCGCGTGAAATTTAGTTTGTCACAGATCGTCATAAATTATAGCCTATATATTATTCAGGGTTATAAACAATAATACTGTAAAGTTACATCAAAATCCGTTCAGTAGTGATCGCGTGAAAGAGCAACAAACATCCAGACATCCAAACTTTCGCATTTATAATATTAGTTGGATAATAGTGTCAACCACTCAACTAAATACTACTTCCTTCTCGTGTATTTGTTTGCAAACTATTACTATAATAACGTACTAAATATAAATAAGTATACGTGGATATCTGTTATTGTCTTTCTTGCATAGTATTAAGAGTTACATTTTTCTATCATAACGAAATAAACGCAACACATGACAAGACAACCCTAGCGCGACGGCCGAGCGTGCGAGCGAGAGAGGTATGCAAAGCGAGGTACATACATGAGTTTACCTTCTGTTATATTTTGTGCCATTACGGCTTGCTTGGTCACTTCGCGCGACGTGGTCCGACCATAAAGTTAATATACCTAGCGGAATATAGCAACAAAGGACTGAGCGAGCGAGATGTCACTAGTAGCAACACTGTGTGATAAAAAGAGATGGGTGATACGACGTAAAAGAACCATTTTTGCAACTATTTAACAGTTTATTAGCACTGACACGCTGAAAATTTGAGCTCTGGGATTTTTTCAGATTTAACGCGAAAGAAATCGTGGATGTTTATGAGAAACTAGCGGCCGCCCGCAACTTCGTACGCGTGGATCCCGTTTTACCCCCTTAGGGGTGGAGTTTCGTAAAATCCTTTGTCTACGGATGCGTACGTCATAACATCTAGCTGCATGCCAAATTTCAGCCCGATCCGTCCAGTGGTTTGGGCTGTGCGTTGATAGATCACTATGTCAGTCAGTCACCTTTGAGTTATACATATTTAGATGTGCGTCAGAAACGTGTTGACTGGTTCAGTGATTGATTAATGTACAAATCAGTGAAATAATCCTGAAAACTGACACACTAATGACATTCTGATTCCTGTGACATCATAAAATCGGTTTCGTTTGACAGCTCGTGGTTGTTGCTTTATTCCGAAGGAATAGTATTAACTTTAAGGCAGCGACCGGTTACGTAGTTCGCTATGATGATGACGATTAATCATCCTAAAGATCACTGATGCTGATGATGACCTGACGAGACTGGCTAAATGACCTAGTGTTGACTTGATGATGATTATGCCACTGACCTGTTCCACCACGCTGTACTCCTCTTTTTCCTCCAGATCGCTGAAGGTATCATCAAGTAGCCTGACGATTCTTTCTTTGTAGGCTCTATCGGACGCCATTACGGCTTGCTTGGTCACTTCGCGGGACGTGGCGCGACCGGTCGCGTAGTTTTCTATGATGGGGTACTGGAAACAAAATACATTATCGTTTCATCTACGAAGACGCGCCCCACCATTCTTCCGCGAATGTTTGAGTGTTATCGGTACACGCTAAATGCTCCATGAGTGCACACGCACACTACAATAATGCCTTACGGCTTGCTCGGACCACACTCCCCGCACCCCGCGCGACCGGGACTAAACATTAGTGGGGCGCGTCCGAGTGGATAAAACCACAGAATAATAATAAGTACTACGTACAGAAGTTTTACTTCGCGAAGGTATTTGAAAAATTGTATGCTCAATGTCATTAACAATATGGTGTAATTTAGCGTGCGTGTCTCAAGAGTAAAGCACCATTTTGTTGACAAACGTCAGTGATCGGCACTGCGCCGAAGCTAAGGGCTGACTTCGGTAAAATGATGTGACGTGAGGTGCCAAACTGCTTAAAATGGCGGAGGAAATACATGATTTAGCATGAATAATATTAACTACTTATTTACCTCTCAGTATCTTAGTACACCATTTTCTTTATTTTATTCCATCATACACAAGAATACGCGTGCGTGATTCAATGTTCGCTCGTATGTGAGGCCTTGTCGAATAGTATCCTGTAGGTGGGCCATCGTGCGTGTTTTGTTTTCGATGTAAACTCGCGGAGATGAACAGGCCTGATAAAACGAACTATTCAAGACTAGAAACTAGTTCGTTTACGGATCTCCTCATTTCTGATTCGATTACGTAAAGAAACACCGAGCATAGCCCTCTCCATAGCACGATGTGTAATTTATTATAAGGCCTGTAGTAAATAAAGTAGGCGTAGCAGTGGACGTCCTGTGGCTGAAATGATGATGATGAAATAAACTAAAGTCGCTGACATAGCCCGACAGATTAGCAAGCTGAAGTGGCAATGGGCAGGGCACATAGTACGCAGAACTGACGGCCGATGGGGCAGCAAGGTTCTGGAGTGGAGGCCGCGTGTAAGACGTCCACCCACAAGGTGGACCGATGACCTCATAAAGGTAGCAGGAAGGCGCTGGATGTATGCCGCTACCAACCGGGCGATGTGGAAATCATTGAGGGACGCCTATGTTTAGCAGTGGACGTCCTGTGACTGAAATGATGATTATGATGATGAAACGTACCTTGCTGTCAAACTCCTGTCCCATCCACTTGAAGGAACCCTTCACAGCGTGTAAAAACAGCTTGCTGGAGTCTCGCAGCGCTTGCAGTAGACTTTGCAGTCGCGCTTCTAAAACTAGAATGCAGTACAATTTATTATTTTTTTGGACCCAGCAGTTTTGTAGCTAGTACTATTAGTGTTGACGCTAGTTGCTATTGTGCTATTAGTAGTGTCAGAATTACTAGTGTTGGAATTAGAAAGAAAGAAAGAAAGATACAGGCAATTACATAGACATGACAGTGGCACATAATAATAGAAGAAGAAAAAGCATAGAAACAAGAGTAAACTGAGCAGTGCCACCCAATTACCAGCAAGATGCCCACTGCAACGGGACCCCACTCGGCATATGCCGTGGCCCATGGTGACGAAGGCCACGGCGCTGGTTTCAGTGTGCCCCATGTTATGTTGGAGTAGTGTTTTTTTCTCTTTTTACAGGAAACGATGGGAAAACAGTCACATTGAAGGCTTATGTACTAAATCTATTAAAATTTAAAAATTGAGTAACAATGTACTGTGTTGGAGCCTGGAGTAGTGTTGAAGTAGTGTTGGACTAGTGTTGAGGTAGTGTTGGACTAGTGTTGAGGTAGTGTTAGACTAGTGTTGGACTAGTGTTGTAGTGTTGAGCTAATGTTGTAGTGTTGGACTAGTGTTGAGGTAGTGTTGGACTAGTGTTGTAGTGTCGCAGCTACCTCTAGTGTCAGCCACGGCTCGCAGGCTCCTTGTCAGCCTCGCCGGGTGTAGTGTTGGACTAGTGTTGTAGTGTCGGGGCTACCTCTAATGTCGGCCACGGCTCGCAGGCTCCTCGTCAGCCTCGCCGGGTGTAGTGTTGGACTAGTGTTGTAGTGTCGCAGCTACCTCTAGTGTCAGCCACGGCTCGCAGGCTCCTGGTCAGCCTGGCAGGCGGCAGCTCGCGCGCGCCGCATTGCAGCAACGGCGACCAGTCGACGCACCACAACGCACCGCAACGGAGCGAATACATCATGTTCTCTAAATGACGGTCGCCTAGCCCTAGGGATTTAAATTAATCAGAAATGTCGTTTCAAACATCAGAATGAAATGTCTTTACTTGTTTAGACTAATCTATATTTATAAAAGCGAAAGGTCACTGACTGACTGACTCACTCGTCACGAAATTTCAGAAACTACATGTGCTAGAAGTTTCGAATTTTGCATGAGGGTTCCTTTCAGATCGTAGGTGCTCACTAAGACGGGATTTTACAAAATTCAACCACTAAGGGTTACTCCCTAAGTCCCTATGAACCGAAAAGCGTATGAAGTCGCGGGCGGCCGGTAGTATAGTAAATTTTTTGTCTAGCGTTTAGCTGAGTCAGCGCCTGAGGTATTTATTTTATGAGAGCGACACAAGACGGGTGACATTGACATATTATGACGTAACGGAGCATACAAATCTCATTTCTCACTGACAATCGACGTAACAAAAACACACTCCGCTCACATACCTCTGGCACTGACATAGTATTTTTTAAATGGTACAGTTTTAAAGGATCTACTTCTTACCGAATATCCAGCACAGCAGAGTAAGCAAGCTTAGTGTCTCGACGAACTTGTGCTTCTTCTTTATAAAGTCTTCTGTCGACGAGCAGTTCGCTTCGATGGCTGATCTGAGGCAAAAATCAAGTTTAAAAATACGTTAAATATTGTGTTACATATACGACGACAGAAAAACGAAGCAGCAGGTAGCAGGAAGGCGCTTTTTTTTTTTATGTGATAGGAGGCAAACGAGCAGACGGATCACCTGATGGTAAGCAATTGCCGTCGCCCATGTACACCCGCAACATCAGTGAAGTCACAAGTGCGCTACCAACCTTTTAAATCCCATTCCCCCCCAATTGGGCCTCCGGTATCCTCACTCACTCGGCGAAACACAGCGCAAGCGCTGCTTCACGCCGGTTTTTTGTGAGGCCGTGGTATCACTCCGGTCGAGCCGGCCCATTCATGCCGAAGCGTGGCTCTCCCACGGAAAAAAAGCGCTGGATGCAGGCCGCTACCAACCGGGCGATGTGGAAATCATTGGGGGAGGCCTATGTTCAACAGTGGACGTCCTGTGTCTGTAATATGACATTATGTATCATTGAAATTGTATGAATCTATTGTAATAATATGTTTGTGCTATTTCAATAATTCATAATCATTTTCTGACATTTGCATGATATTCAATTAATAATGATACTACTTTTTAATACTAAAAACATAATCGTATTTTTGGTAATATTTGCACATCGTATGTACGATAGAATATGTTGGAAACTTCTCTTTTTATAACCATTTGTAACCGTATTCTAGCAAATAAATGATTTATTTATTTATCTGAAATGATGATGAAATGAGAAAGGGTCGTGCAGTCACACTAATGACATCTGTCCAAAATGATGTCGTAGGACTTCATTTGAGCGTGACTTTTAAGTAGACATGCCACGAATATTTGGCTACTATTCGGTATTCGGCCTATTCGGCCACTTTTTTTGGTATTCGGTATTCGGCCGAATAATAGGTACTATTCGGCCGAATACCGAATACCAAGTCATGGAAAAAAAGGACACATCATATTAATCGAGATTTGTCTTTATTATCAAATTACAATACTTTAATAAGTAAAATTAATCAGCTGTAAGTTGTGATGGATAAAAACAAGCTTTTCAGCATTTGAAGGTAGCAAACGATTACGCTTTTCATCATAAATGATACCAGCTTCAGAAAACAACCTCTCACTATACACGCTACTCCCGGGAGAAGAAAGATAAACTTAGCAAATTTCGAGAGGTTTGGGTATTGTTTTTCATTAGCTGACCACCACTTGTAAGCTTCTCGATCTAGTCGATTTGATTTCAAATAAAAATCCATCTCATTTGCCACAGTATTCTTCTCCACGTTCTCCTCATCATTACTATTTCGCATATTATCTTTAACGACTTCCTCAAATAGGCCAGTAGAATTAAACACAAAAATTGATTAAATCGGAAATAATTCCTACAAAAGATTTTTTTGCTTTAATGGCTTCATTGGTTGCCCATTAAGACTCTCCTAAGTTTTCGACTTCGACGGAGTTGTGCTTAAGTGGTGGGGGCCCCCGAAAGGGGCGTTTTTTCGGTTTTCCGGTTATACCGTGTAAAGGACTTACCCTATCGAAAAGTGGTCTTCATGACGGTTAAAGGGCACTTAATCCTGCATTGAATAAGACCAAATTCATATGTTTTGGACAAACCGTTCTCGCGCTAAAGTTCGGCAAAGTAGAAAATATACGTATAATTAATGACCCTCTCCACGTCCAATGGCTTGTTACCCACATGCTTCCAAGCCTTGTAAAGGGTCGCCTTAACCAGTGTAACCCTAACAAGGCTCACGAGTTTGATTCGCTGCTCATTAATTATACGTATATTTTCTACTTTGCCGAACTTTAGCGCGAGAACGGTTTGTCCAAAACATATGAATTTGGTCTTATTCAATGCAGGATTAAGTGCCCTTCAACCGTCATGAAGACCACTTTTTGATAGGGTAAGTCCTTTACGCGGTATAACCGGAAAACCGAAAAAATGCCCCTTTCGGGGGCCCCCACCACTTATGCACAACTCCGTCGAAGTCGAAAACTTAGGAGAGTCTTAATGGGCAACCAATGAAGCCATTAAAACAATAAAATCTTTTGTAGGAATTATTTCCGATTTAAAAGCTAATTCTACTGGACTAAAAGCAGTTCCAGAAACTGTCGTGTATTTCAAATGACTTATCATTTTCGTTCAAGTTTCTTCTCTTACGACTTGGAGAAGAATCGTCATCGGTACTACTAGACTCATCATTACAACTTAGTTTCAGAGCTTCTATAAGAATTTTTTGTCTTGCTCTTTCTGCTTGAACAAAACCTAGGAAACTTGTTTTGAAGCGTGGATCAAGAAAAGTAGCGACCAGAAATTTGTAATTTATATTAATCTGTCAATGCGTGCCGTGACGTGATTTACTCGCAATTGAATGAAAGAGTCAAATAGCCTCACACCGCCCGCGCACGATTGAGACAGGGCAACCTGTCGTATTATTATTTACGCGCTCGACTAGCATGAACTTTGTGCCGAATATTCGGCCGCCGAACATTCGGCGCTTCGGCCGACAGCGTTGCCGAATATTCGGTATTCGGTATTCGGCTAAATCACTATTCGTGGCAACTCTACTTTTAAGACGTTTATAACGTATTGGCCGAAATCCTCCCTTTCAGGACGTCCACTGCTGAACATAGGCCTCCCCCGATGATTTCCATGTTTGACAGTAAGGTACGTTACATCATCATCATTTCAGCCACAGGACGTCCACTGCTGAAAATGAGCCTCCCCCAATGACTTCCACATCGCACCTCCCAAATTCGTCCAATCCAAATCCTCCATTTGCCTCTGGTAAATGAGAGAGGGTCGTTCTCCTGCAGTGGAGACTGAATGACCTGATGATGATCATTATGATCAAGCTCAAGATGATCAAGATGTAATTCTTACCCATTAATAATTTACATCTTGTGCTTACTGCTTAACGATTGCCATCCGCCAAACGCACCCGATGTGTGCCAAATAAAAGACAATGCCGGAAATTGGAGTCTTTTTTTTTTCGCGCGGCCATCGACCAAACTTTGTTTTTTGATTACAAAATAGTGCAATAAACCAAACTTACTATGACATGTATACCTTTAAACTCAGTCTAAACTGAGTTACGAGCATTAGAAGTATGGAGCAGAATCAGCGCAATAAAAAAATAGCGCAATATTTTTTTGCAATTTCTTACAAAACTTGCGCACAAAAAGCAAATCTAGTATGAAAATAATCAAACTTCTAATGCTCGTAACTCAGTTCAGACTGAGTTTAGAGGTATACATGTTATAGTAAGGTTTATTACACTATTTTGTAATCAAAAAACAAAGTTTGGTCGATGGCCGCGCGAAAAAAAAAGACGCCACTTTCCATACAAAATCTGGCATTGCCATTTCTTCTTTCTTTCTTTCTATCAAGCCTGTGTTCCTACCTCAGAGCATTGATGGTGCTCCAAGATGAAGATCAAGATGTAATTCTTAAATCATCATCATTTCAACCACATGACATCCACTGCTGAACATAGGCCTCCCCCAATGCTTTCCAAGTTGCCCGGTTGGTAGCGGCCTGCGTCCAGCGCTTTCCTGCTACCTGTACGATGTCGTCGGTCCACCTTGTGGGTGGACGTCCCACGCTGCGTTTTCCGGTACGCGGCCTCCACTCCAGAACCTTACTGCCCCATCGGCCGTCAGTTCTGCGTACTATGTGCCCTGCCCATTGCCACTTCAGCTTGCTAATCCGTCGGGCTATATCAGCGACTTTAGTTCGTTTACGGATCTCCTCATTTCTGAATCGATCTCGTAAAGAAACACCGAGCATTCTTACCCTCTTACTAATAAAACTTACACGCTCGTTGAACAGTGTTTTAAAGTGACGTTTAGTATGGAAATGTCATTTTAAAACAGTGTTCAACAACTGTGTAACTTTTTTATTAGTAAGGGGGTTAATGTGTGCCAAATAAATGACTTTTCTTTCTTTCTTTCTATTAAGCCTGTGTTCCTACCTCAGAGCATGGGCCGGTACTTGACTGCAAAAGTTGCGGTAGTGCTCCAAGGATGCTGAGGACAGGATCAACTCTTCATCTTCAGCTCTCGCGCCAATGTCCACTTGATCTGGGAGAAAAAGACAAGTTTTTGACATCTTTTAGAAAAAAAATACTTTTTTTACTTTTAGAACAAAGGTTTTTATTTATAAGTTTTGTAATTTTCTTAACTTTGCTGTCACTTTTCATCGCCTAAAACAGGGTCTTTTTATGTGTGTGGAAAATTTTAAATATTAAAAAACGAAATTTTAAATAAACAACTTGTAAAATCGAACTGCCTAAGGCGGGGATCGAACCCACGACCTTATGCTTGCCGGGCGACTGCTCTTCCAACTGAGCTACTTAGACACTGGATGAACCTGTCGAAATTTTCAAGTGTATGTTGTTATGGCCGCGATTACACTTGAAAATTTCGACGAGTTTATCGACGGAAGTAGCTCAGTTGGAAGAGCATACTACCTATAAGGATGGCCTTCATACCTAGATCATAAACGCTGTTGATCATATCGCGGAGCCTGGTGGAGTCTTCGACAAACTCTATCAGCCCGCTGTCCTCTCCGAGTGGGGTCACCTGCAAGAGATTGTCACACCTTTAGACCAGCGTTTCTTAACCTTTTTTTGTCTACGGAGTGTGGCATAACTATTCCATCCGAGGAACGTGCGGCAAATTCTGCGCATGGCCCTTGACGTATCTATAGTCTGGTCTGCGAGCACGTAAAATTTTGTCCAATGACCCCAAGCTACCCATACTTATCGCTCGCGCGTAATTATGTTGCTGTCGCGACTGTGCGACGGGCGGCCGCAGTGAGTGTGCGTGCGCGACAGCAACATTCATTGGACAAAATTCTACGTGCTCACAGACCGGGCTTTAGGGTTATTTTTCAGGGGGGCCCCGGGACCATTGCCCTGAAGCATGGCGATTAGGGTCTTGGGCCGGGGCCCCCTCGGCTCGGGTCCCGTGGCATTTTGCCAGCCACTGTCCACAGACCCTTTAGGAAATCAAGCACAATTTTAAGGAGCCTCTTAATAACACACCTCAGGGGTCCACGGACCAATATGTTAAGAAACACTGCCATCTCCGCTTCGTTCTGCTTCAAAATCCTACTTACCCACGATCTTCTCTACGATACCCCGGTCCTAAAATTGGCTTCTCCGCTAAATATCTCCGCTCCGCTCACCTCATACCGCAGCCGGGTCCCTCGCACCAGCGTCGCCGCGGCCGCCGCCGCTCGCTGCGCCGCTCGCTCCACTTGCAAGCGATCACCACTTTTGTGGATGTACCGACGGACAGTCCCATCAGTGAGCAAGAGTGATAATACTGCTGGACGGCTGACAGCATCGGTGAAGACCGATACCTGGATGAAAGAATAATAATAATAATGTTAATATCGAGCCGGAACACGTAGCGTGGGCAGGCCTCCCACTAGGTGGACCGACGATCTGGTGAGGGTCGCGGGAGGTGCTTAGATGCGGGCGGCGCAGACCGGTCTTTGTGGAAATCCTTGGGGGAGGCCTTTGTCCAGCAGTGGACGTCTTTCGGCTGAAACGAACGAACGAACGAATGTTAATCATCTTCATTTCAGCCACAGGACGTCCACTGCTGAACATAGGCCTCCCCCAATGACTTCCAGATTGCCCGGTTGAAAGGTCTCGTGATGTTACTATTCTGTAAAAATTGGCCAAGTGCGTGTCGTACCACGCGCAGTGTAGGGTTCCGTAGTAGTTAATTTCCCCCCGGGACAAACTTGGCCTTCACTGGTTGTGTTATTGGCGGTCAAGCTGTAGATCCTGGCTACACAGGAGTTGCAGCGGTGGGAACGAGAGGTGGGAATAGTCCCGTGTCAGTTTCCCAAAAAAAAAAAAAAATTTCTTCTAGCTAAAATTGCCTTATAATGTATAATACTTACTTGCTCATAGAACTTCACAACACCCTTCTTTCCGAGTCCCAGTAGTCTTGACATCTGTGCGTCCCGCTCGCTCGCGCAGTAAGTGTGCTTGGCGAGAGCGGGACAAAGCTGGGACAGGCGTAGCGTGGCTCTCGGTGGCTTCTTGTATAGTTCAGATAATATCTTGTTTAGCGTTGACGTTTTTTGCTGGGTATCTGTAGATTCTAAAAGAAATTCACGCGTTAGATTGGTCCCTGGTTATCTGCCAGATGTCTAAGAAACTAATGCCCGTTTTCACTATCAATCCCTAATTTTTAAGTGACCCCTATGGTAACACAAAACATGAATTTTGTTTTCAAAGGGGACACTTAAAAATTAGGGATTGATGGTGAAAACGGGCATAAAAGTAGTTTTTTATCTGATAGATAAGTCCTTAATAGGTTAGTACCAAGGGATAGTTATCACTTCTTGTCCGCCAGATATCTGTATCAGAGACCAGTGAACCTAAATCGTAATTTATCTGACAGATAAGTTCCTGATAGGCTTGTAGCAAGGGATAATTATTAATGGTTGTCCGTCAGATATTTCTATCAGGGACCAGTAAATCTAAGCTGTGGTTCATCTGACAGATAAGTCCCTGATAGGCTTGTACCAAGGGATAGTTATCACTGGTTATTTGCCAGCTATCTTTATCAGAGACCAATGAACCTAAATCGTAATTTATCTGACAAATATGTTCTGAATTTATCTGATAGATAAGTTCCTGATAGGTAATCAGAGGATTTCTCGTACTCTAGACGAGAAACTAGAGAAATGTGCCTCATAGTTTATCTGACAGATAAGTTCCTGATAGGCTATCAAGGACCTTATAAACAAAAGTACTTACTGATATTTCGCTACTTAATGAAGCAGATCCAGAAGATGTAATTAATCTGACAGATAAGTTTCTGATAGATTAGCAAGGATTTTAGGACAATAAGAGGAAGTAAAGAAGTTTTCTGAGTTGATAAGTCTGCAATGACCTTTCTAACTAAACTATAGAAACACTTACCATAGTCTTCGATCATGTACAGATCTTGCTTATACTTGGCTAACACGTTGTATTCCGAACTCTGTAATGAGTATGGATTATCAAATATATTGTCTTTCAGCAGCTCAAAAGATTTCTGCCATTTTGTGGGATCTGCAACAAAAATATGGTTCGTTTCAGCCAAATGACGTCCACTGCTGGACAAAGGCCGCCAAGCATTTCCACGATTGGTAGCGGGTGCACAAAAAATTGGTTAAATAAGTATTAATTTTATTGTTTTTAGTATTACAAGCTATACTGCTTAGTTTGGGTCTCACTGGTAAATATTTAAATATGTTAATATCTAGTGCATAGTTTAAGTACATTGTTATTTAAGTCAAGAATATGTATATCTTTTTGGAAATAAAATATTTATTATTATTATTTATATTTTGTGCTTTTTCCACCTCAGCTTAAAAGCTGGAAAATTAAAGATCAGCTACGGGCATTGCCAAGTACCTGATCTATAATAAGATTAATTAAGTGTTTATATTACGATGGGCCAGCAGAATTATTATTATTTGTTGAAAATTTCAATTTTCTAGCTGTCACAGTTCATGAGATAAACACTGAACTGTCCCAGTTATAACTGTCAGGAGGGCGCTACTATCAATGCTGGATCATTAGTTCCGTTTATTGCCACGTTGGACAACCATTAAAATCTGCGGGCACGGCAGTGCACAACATTAACTATAATAATAAACAAATCGCAGTAAGGAACCATAGACTTGGCACGACTTTGTCTAGATTTCATTACTTTTTAAAGATAAACAAGCAGCTCCATCGAGACTTGGCTAGTTTTTCAACCGACTTCAAAAAAAAAGGAGGAGGTTCTCAATTCGACCCGTACCTATGTTTTTTTTTCTATGTTTGTTACGCGATAACTCCGCCAATAATTATGAACCGATTTGAACAAATCTTTTTTCGGCGTATAGGTAATACGCCGAAAACAAAGGGTGGTCCCATTTAAATGTAATAATAGAAAAAACAACCCCCAAGGGTGGAAAATTGGGGATGAACTTTTTTATACGCAATATTTTTAATTTTTAGTTTTTTTTTGTGTTCACGCATTTGAAGTCGGTTTTATTTTTTTTTAAATTAATTACAGAATGTTTTTTGTGGGATATATTTGACACCACCAATCAATAAACGTACTTTCTAAAACTGTCAAAACGATACTTTCCAATAGATTTTGGTGACGTCACTATTTTGTCAATTTTACTACTTTCTTCAATTACAATGCAACCAAAAATCTTAATTTACAGGTATTTTAAAATTAATTGAATGAAGTGACTTATAAAAAGTTGTGATTTCGAAATATTGGGGAATGGTGTCAAATAGTCTATTGTGACATTAGGAGGGATATCAATCAGGGATGTTACGGATATCCGTAAGCGTAACCGAAACTTTCGGATATCCGAAATAAAAAAATATCCGAAACCGTAACCGTAACCGGTATAATATTATTCCTATATCCGTAACCGTATCCATAACCGAAACTACATATCCATAACATCCCTACTATCAATGCTGAGTTGTTTGTTTTTGATTTTTGTCACTTGACGTTTCAAAATCTTTGAACTATACATTACAGCCTGTTAAACAGATGTACAGTGGAGTCCTTTTCACCATTTGGTTACGGAACCTAAAACACTTACCACTAATCTCTCTCTTCAGTCCCTCACACCTCCTCAACAGTGAGTATCGGAGGTCGCAGACCAGTTGGAACTGTTTCTTCCAGCTGTCGTCTGCAGACGTCAGGGCGGCCGATAGCGAGGGGAAGTCCTGTAGGATGGGGGGGAAGAGGGGAACATGGGACCTGAGCTGGTCTAGGGATGTGTCGTCTAGGTGGGGAAGGAGGGAAACCTGGAAAGAAGTAGGTATTTCATCGAATATTTGTCATATTTGCGACATTTCACATACAGTATCAATCATGAGTGAGTAAGGCATGGTTGAGGATGCAGCGCTTGGTACTCATTACCTGATAAAATGTAATAATGTACGAACTTATTTAAGCAGCTAGGAAACTCTTTAATTGGCTTAGATTTAATGCTCATCAAACTAACATGAATATTGTAAAACAGCTGTTGAGTTTCTGAATAAATAAATAAATAAGTATCGGTCTCTGACTATTAAAGGTATTTTTTCTGAATTTCATTGTGAAAAATATGCCCGTAAATCAGTAAAATAATAAAAAACTTAGATGTTGCTATATGGTATTTTCACCGCTAAAAACATGAATAACAGAAAAATAAATTTTTTAAGTTCATGTCCTATGACTAGTGGGGCGACCAAGTGGCTACACAGCTCGCGGACAAATGACAGAAAACCCACGAAATAAAAAGCCTGGAGAAACCAGAGACAAATGGATGATTTGGACTCAACTCATTTTATAAAATTGACATTGTATTTATTTGACATTTAGAAATATTAATGTATAATTTATTACTATTTAATTAATTTTTAGTCTGCACTCTGTATTAATTTTAAATGTGGAAACTTTGCTGATTTCTGTCCTATTTTTTGTGTGATTATTTGTCTGTATATCAAAATTGTTTGTTTCCCTAATATAAATAAATAAATAAACTGCTCATGCTGGCAAGACGGGTTAGGGAGGCCTGATGTTCGCATATTTGGAACTCAGTCGCTTTTAACGACATCCACGGGAAGAGTCGGAATGGTCCTATTATTCTACTATTATCTGATCTATAAGGTCGTTGATCCTCCTTGTGGATGGAAGTCACACGCTGCGTTTTTCGGTACCGACCAAGGTGGACTAACGACCTCATAAAGGTAGCAGGAAGGCGCTGGATGCAGGCCGCTACCAACCGGGCAATATGGGAATCATTGGGGGATTGATTGGCCTGTACAGGGTGTTAGGTAAATGCTACCCATTTACCTAACACCCTGTATAGGCCAATTAATCAAATGGGTATAGGAGCCGACACTAGCCCATGTTAACATGGGCATATAAAAATGGTATGATGAAGTCAGAAAATTGATATCTTCATTTTAATTATTTTATTTTTCATACAAAGCGGATTTTATAAAATTTATTTTGTATGAAAATAAAAAAAATGAAGATATCAAATTTCTGACTTCACCATACCATTTATATGCCCATGTTAACATGGGCTAGTGTCGGCTCACATACCCATTTACCTAAAACCCTGTATTCAGTGGACGTCCTGTGGCTGAAATGATGATGATTTTAAACATACCTTCTCCAAAACATTCCTCGCTGTTTCTTCGCTCATTTCCGCAGTAAACTCATCTAATTTGTTCAGTATGACGGCCAGGAACAGCTCGGCTCGTTGGATGAGATCCAGCTCTATCATTAGCCCGAGGAGATCCGCCATGTTGGATAGGAGGTCGTTTTGGTCGGACGATTCTGGAAACGTATGAACTTTATAATGAGGGAATTTTGATTGGGTATTTCAGTACGAGCACAGAATAATAATAAGTACTACGTACAGAAGTTTTACTTCGCGAAGGTATTTAAAAAAATGTATGCTCAATGTCATTAACAATATGGTGTAATTTAGCCTGTCTCAAGAGTCAAGCACCATTTTGTTGACAAACGTCAGTGATCGGCACTGCGCCGAAGCTATAGGGCTGACTTCGGTAAAATGATGTGACGTGAGGTGCCAAACTGCGGAAAATGGCGGAGGAAATACATGATTTAGCATGAATTATCATGAATAATATTAACTACTTATTTACCTCTCAATGTCTTGAGGCAACTTAAAAAAGTACATTCTGTGTTTTTATTATTATTTAGGCAGTTAAATACTGCACAGTATTTAGTACACCATTTTCTTTATTTTCTTCCATCATACACAAGAATACGCGTGCGTGAGTCAATGTTCGCTCGTATGTGAGGCCTTGTCGAATAGTATCCTGTAGGTGGGCCATCGTGCGTGTTTTGTTTTCGATGTAAACTCGCGGAGATGAACAGGCCTGGTACGAGTATGATTTGATTTTTATAATAGGCGACACTAGCCATAAGGTTATGGTGTCCAAGTGCGTATTCGAGGGTTGCCAGTTCGATCCAGTAATGATATTAGTGGTGGATTTTTTTTATCCACAACGAGGAAGCTCTTGGCCTGTATCTCTCCTGATGGTAAGTGATGATTTGTCGCAGTCATTTGGTTACAGAAGCCTTAATATATACATAGTTCAGAAGTTAAGTTGCCTAGATTAACTTTTGCGGTTATCAATGGGTGTGATATTTGATATAAATAGTCAGCAGTTCTGCGTGCGTGCCATGCCCATCTTTCCCACTAGGCACTTTGGGCACGTACCCAGGGCCCCGTGAAAGGCCAAGGCTTCCACCTGCTTTAAAAAATATTTAAACAAACAGCTGATAGTTGTAAATTTTTGCATTTTCCCTTTTTTAGAAGGGATTTATTCCTGTATTTGTGATGAATCACTCAGGGCCTCAGTTGGTTAAAGACGGCCCAATGTCAGTTTAGGTTGCTGATGCCCGCTTTGACCATCAATCCCTAATTTTTAAGCGACCCCTATAAAAACAAAATTCCTGTTAAGTGTTACCTTAGGGATCACTTAAAAATTAGGGATTGATGGTGAAAACTGGCATAAGGAATACAAAACATAGAACACCATTCATCTCACCATCGCTCCATACATCGTCGTAGAAGCCAATAGCCATTTCGTACAGCGCGCATAGCGAGGGCTTGTCGAGCTTGACGCTGCGCCGCGATGCCTGTTCTGCGCTCGATATAAAGACTTGCAGCTGCTCTTTGGTTATCGCTGAAACATTATCAGATCATTTTTAGGTCTAAAGCCCGGTCTGTGAGCACGTAGAATTTTGTCCAATGACCCCAAGCTACCCATCCTTATCGCTCGCGCGTAATTATATTGCTGTCGCGACTGTGCGACGGGCGCCCGCAGTGAGTGTGCGAGCGCGACAGCAACATAATTACGCGCGAGCGGTAAGGATGGGTCATCATCATCATCAACAGCCCTTTACAGTCCACTGCTGGACTATGAGCCTCCTCCACTATAGTGGAGGGTTTTGCCATAATCCCCACGCTTGGCAGGCGGGTTGGGTTTAAAAGATTGATGTTTGTTAGAGAGCTCTGCTGCCCGTTCTGTTTGATGTGTGATCCCTAAGTCGCCTCTTACGACACCCGCGGGAAGAGTAGGGGTTGGTGACAAATGTATTCTACTCTGCCGTCACCACAATGCTAAGGATGGGTAGCTTGGGGTCATTGGACAAAATTCTACGTGCTCACGGACCAGACTATAGCTAGCGCATAAAGTCAGTCAGTGCCTGATGTATTGGAGCGGCCTGATGTTTGATTGTCGTTGATCAACATTCAGATTTGTATGCTTTGTCACGTCACAATATGTCAATGTCACCGCTCCGCTTTGCAATGGAGGAAAGTCGAACCTTAAATTCGAACTCCTCCTATGTTCTTCTGATTAATTTCGTTGCGGGTCCAATGACAGTTTAACTTTCCCCCGGGACAAACTTGGCCATCACTGGTTGTGTTATTGGCGGTCAAGCTGTAGATCCTGGCTGCACAGGAGTTGCAGCGGTGGGAATAGTCCCGTAGACCTATAGATTAAAGTACTCACATCCTAGGTCCTGATGTAGAGAAGCGGCTAAATTGTTCCACATTATAATATCGTTGCTTGAAGACTCGTTCAATGCATCCTTCTTTGATTCTGAAACATAATAAATTAGTTAACTTAAGTTAACTTTTACAAACGTCAAAAGTCTGTTAACTCCATACAAAAAGGTCCGGTTATCGTTATAGTTACGGTTAAAGTTAGGTGGTGCAACCCAGCCTTAAAAAATACGCCACAATTCTATATTTCTATGCTTTTTATTTATTATGGCTTCGATAGGAATACGCCAGGGTAGATTAAAATTAGGTAACGAGTATAGACTGCGTAGCGAGGGTTGAGGCGATCAACACAAGCAAAGACTAAACTTTTGTTTTTCACGTCATCCGCTTTTCAATGGAGAGAAGTCGAACCTTAACTTCGAACTCCTCCAATGTTCTTGTTTAATTTCAATGACAATTAACAGTTGACTTACTACCGAGACAAACATGACCTTCACTGGTTGGGTTATTGGCGGTCAAGCTGTAGATCCTGGCTACACAGGAGTTGCAGCAGTGGAAACGAGTGATGAGAAAGTTCCGGTCCCTCCATCGTGTTCGGATACCGGCACAGAATAATAATAAGTACTACGTACAGAAGTCTTTCTTCGCGAAGGTATTTAAAAAAATGTATGCTCAATGTCATTAACAATATGGTGTAATTTAGCCTGTCTCAAGAGTCAAGCACCATTTTGTTGACAAACGTCAGTGATCGGCACTGCGCCGAAGCTATAGGGCTGTGAAAATACATGATTTAGCATGAATTATCATGAATAATATTAACTACTTATTTACCTCTCAGTGTCTTGAGGCAACTTAAAAAAGTACATTCTGTATTTTTATTATTATTTAGGTAGTTAAATACTGCACAGTATTTAGTACACCATTTTATTTATTTTCTTCCATCATACACAAGAATACGCGTGCGTGAGACAATGTTAGTATAGTATCCTGAAGGTGGGCCATCGTGCGTGTTTTGTTTTCGATGTAAACTCGCGGAAATGAACAGGCCTGATACCGGTCCCGGTATCCGAACACGATGGAGGACTGTTGTGGACGCCCTCTGCCTCATTTAGGATAATAAGTCAAGTTATTTTCTCACCAAGTAAGGCCAAAGCGTCGCCCAGCATATCAACGTTGTTACTGTTCAAACCGATGATCCTCATAGCACGAGCCTTTTCGATCTGCCACGACAGTTGTTCGCTGACCTCTGCCGCACTGAAAGATAATTTCGAACTAATAAGAAAAATACCTTCTCTTTAATGAGTGGAGCCCAGGCTTGTCTTCAATCTACTACACAAAACAGTGACATTGTATGTGTAAACAAACAATACCATCCATTAAAGGCTCCAGACATCAGTATGGAGCAGAATCAGCGCAATAAAAAAATAGCGCAATATTTTGTTGCAATTTCTTACAAAACTTGCGCGCAAAAAGCAAATCTAGTATGTGAAATCATCAAACTTCTAATGCTCGTAACACAGTTCAGACTGAGTTTAGAGGTATACATGTCATAGTAAGTTTGGTTTATTACACTATTTTGTAATCAAAAAACAAAGTTTGGTCGATGGCCGCGCGAAAAAAAAAAAGACGCCAGCCACCTTCCATACAAAATCTGGCATTGCCATTTATTGTGCATTTTGGGTATCATTAATGAGGTTAAAGATCATAGCAGACTTATCAACCCGGAAAGGGATCAACACCGTATCACCTTTCGCGAGCTGTCATCGCCATTCGCGCGCTGACCGCGAGGCAAGGCGTTTACGCTACAGTGCGAATAAGGCCCAGAACAGACGGTAAAAGGCAACTGCAACGAAACTGCAACTGTTAGTTACTTTTGAGTTGCATCTAAGTTACTGCCATAGCGTCCGTTGAGAGACCACACATGACGCGACCAGTTTGAAACTTTCAGTTGCAGTTTCATTCATCAGAATTATCAGAATGTTGCAGTTTCGTTGCAGTTGCGTTTCACCGTCTGTTCTGGGCCTAAGTGTGCGTTGCAGTATGGAGTTTGATACAAAGAATACTGACAGCCTCGAGTTGATACGGTTACGATACCTTTCCGGGTTTATAAATGTGCTACGTTCTTTAGTATGTATTTGCTGTAAAAATGGATTTTTAGTTGCCTTGAAATTAAAATAAAATGAATTTATTTCAGACATGAGTCCTTACATTAAAATTAAAAACAAAATGACAATCTAAATTGAAAATCAAAATCAAAATAAGTTTAAAAATATTTGCCATTAATTAAGTTAAAGCCTGGTCCGTGAGCACGTAGAATTTTGTCCAATGACCCCAAGCTACCCATCCTTATCGCTCGCGCGTAATTATATTGCTGTCGCGACTGTGCGACGGGCGCCCGCAGTGAGTGTGCGAGCGCGACAGCAACATAATTACGCGCGAGCGATAAGGATGGGTAGCTTGGGGTCATTGGACAAAATTCTACGGGCTCACGGACCAGGCTTTAGTCGAGTTTACGAATTTGATTGGTGTTTTTCAACTACCCTACCAACTCACCGGGCGTTTAAATCAGCACAGTTGATGACCAGGTGCGGTAGTCCTCTGTCATTGGCCGTCCTACACCACAGCAACTCGTGAGAGCGAGACGGAACTGATTCTCCGTCCTGCTCTGTTGCTTGCGCTCTTCTGTTGTGTAGGAATTTAAAATGTGTTTAAGTTTAACTTGTTGACTCGTTGCTAACATATTTTCAGATTTATTGAGATTTTTTATATTCTTTTTTTAATTCAAAAATATTTTTTGTTACTCTTTTCGTATAAAATAAAACATTAGATTGATATCTTTTTCCTCGTGCGCTTCAGATTTTAATAGCCAAGGCTAGTAAAAAAGATAAAGTTGATCCATTAACATTAAGTTGCTTGTTAAATATTAGTTTTTAAATGGTATATGAGACTAGCAACTGTCATTCGAAATAACAAACCACCACCACCAGTTATTTGACTACAATCGCACCTGATGTTAAGTGGGATGCAGTCTAGGATACTTTTTTAACCGACTGGGGCCGTTCAAGTATTACGTAAGCAGATTTCTTACCATTTTTTACCCCCCCGCCCCCCTTGTCATCAAAAGTAAGCAAAGCACTTACCCCCTCCCCCTATGCTTACGTAAACATTTTTAGTTATAAATGTTTTTTATACAGTGTGAGTCACGTTAAAGTGTACATATAAAAATAGATGAAACTAGACCTATTTTTATAGACAAAAAAGAGGTCAAAAATTTTTTGAGATATTTTCTTAATGTTTTAAAGATTTTTTTTTGTTCCAATTACTTATTGTAAAGAAAACGTAATTACTTTTAAACTAAGCGGTATATCCTGGTAAAATAAAAACATTAATAATGCTTAATAACAGGCGATACTAAAAAAATACATAAAATACACAAAAAAGGCCAACAAATAATAAAAAATGATAGGTACTGTTTGAAAAAAAAAAACACTGCTTTTAAATTCGTGTTTTTTTGGTTATTTGATAAATTTCTCCAAAAAATGCCCCTATAACCGGTGGTTTTTATTACTTTGTATTATTCTCTATCGTATTACCTTCGTAAAACCAAAAATCGCATGTCTCTATCCCTATCACAACGTTTGCAATGATGAAATAACTAACGATGACGTAATCATCATCTAGACCCCCTACCCCCCATGTCATCCAAAATAAGCAAAACAGAGACCCCCCCACCCCCCCTTGGTGCTTACGTAATACTTGAACGGCCCCACTTAAAAAAAGGAGAAGGTTTTTAAAAAGTCGTATTTACGTTTCTGATGTATTTACCTGACCATAAGCCTAGCTGCCCACTCCACCAAGCAGTCTGAGGGCCTGATATCACATCGCGTCTTCATTTCTTGCTCGCTCCACTCGTTGCCTTCTATCAGTTCCGTTACCTAAAATAAATTACGTAAAATACCATTAATAAGGTATTTTTGACATATTTTGACGTATGTAGATAGTCATTTTTTGGAATTACGAAGCCCCATAATGTATTACAGACAAAAAAACAGTAAAAAAATCAATTATAGGTAATGTGTATTTTTAGTATACATGGATGATATTCTTATACATAGTACATCACCCTTTGAGCATAACCAGGAGTTATCTACTTTAGTAAATATTTCCTTACCACAGATATATCGAAGTGTCGCCTCGGCCATCTATCCGTCTCTCTCAGCCATCGCAGGCTGTCCTGCTTGCACTCATCACGGTACGAGCTCAACATTTTGTTGAACCAGGATTTTGAGTTCGCCACTGTCAAACAGAGAAACACTAAATAAGTATTTTTAGGAAATATACAGGGTGATTATCATAAGTGTTAAGTACTAAATGTTGTGTCAGAGGTTTTAGTTTGTATATTTTGCCTTTTTTGTTTTCTCTGAAGTGTCTATTCGAAGTATTTCGTGCACCGTAATAAAACATACGAATTATAACCCAAGATTTAGGTGAATAGTTGTAAGTGCAGCTATTTAATCTGGAATATGGATATTTATCATCCTCATCAGGTCATTTAGTCTTTGCAGGAGGCCGACCCTCTATTACTATAGGCAAAAACGAGGATAATGTTTAAAATAACTGTTTCTTACCATTTGCTTCGGTCAGCCAGGTCTTAAAAGTGTCTTCTGGCATCCACAGCTGCGGTAGTCCTCCGCGTTGGACTTCGTTCTTCTGCTGAATCGTCAGCGTGTCCCAATTGGACAGCTTGCCGAATGCTGATGTCATATCTGTTATATAAACATGCTGTGTTATTCACACCAATCTTGTTAATATTATATTCCAGCTTATGTTTTGAATTTTGAACCCTCATCAGATCATCGGTCTATCTAGTTAAATAATTACTTGACAATTATCGTTGTGATTTGGCCTATTAACTTAATAATGTTATAAATTATACTTTTTAAGTAATACCGGTGGATAAAAAATAATACTGTAAACTTTTAACACAGCAAGTTCAAAATGTTATTTTTAGACCGTAACACCAGGCATTGAGTTTCAAAATATCGTAACAACATATAAAAATGTCATACCATCAAAAGTAGTATCTGAATCCGTTTCGGCGTACTCCATGAAAATACTACTGAAACAAATAATAATTTTAAAATATCTATTAAAAATAAATCATTGATAAATATTTGAAAAGCTTTAGCAGTAAATAAGGCACAAAGATTTAAGAACAGCTAACTCTTTTTTCCAAATTATATTTTCATGAAACTCTCTAGCAAAGAAGCTAATAAAGCCCGGTCTGCGAGCACGTAGAATTTTGTCCAATGACCCCAAGCTACCCATCCTGTCCTGTCGCGACTGTGCGCGACGGGCGCCCGAAGTGAGTGTGCGAGCGCGACATCAACATAATTACACGCGAGCGATAAGGATGGGTAGCTTGAGGTCATTGGACAAAATTCTACGTGCTCGCAGACCAGACTATAGATGCTTGTGTTAGAAGTGGTTATTCCACAATAGTCCAGCGGACGATGGGGGTCAAGCTAGCGACAAGCATAAGAAGCCTGCAGTCATAAGCTAAGATCAGTCAGTTTAGATTAGCTAACATAGCTGACGCAGTTTTCTATGTTTGTATACTTAGCAGTTGACACACAACATAATAAAATCGAGCAAGTGCGAGTTGGACAGAAAAGCAAGCCGTACGCAATATTTATGTCACCGTAAAATTATGAGTCCCGTCACATTATAATCTGGCGTAGTTAGATTACAATCTAACCCACTGTTAGTTTACAAACTCACGCGTTACATTGTAATTTACGGAGTTCATAATTTCACGTTGACATTTACACTCTACTGACCTCTGTTCTGTCAAACGCGGTAGACTGACACTGAAATTGACAAAACAAATGTAAGTTAATATTTCTAAATTATAATAATTGATCTTCCTTTCAACCTAATGCTGTGACACTGGACATAGGCCTCCTCCAAGGATTTTCACGAACGGTCCTGCGTTGCCCATAACCAGTGGCCTAATTCACGTATCAAAACTTCAACTACATGCACTCTTGTGGCGGAGTTTTGGGCTGACACTGTGTAGGTTTGTTGTCGACACGAAAAGAAGAAGAACTACATGCAAGCGATTTGATAGCTGGAGTCACTTTTCGTATTCACGTATTAAACGCCCGTTATGCGTATTCGACCGTGTCTCTGCAGTTCACCTATTTTGAAGTGTGGTTAGATCGGATGCCAGTGATTAAACGTCAAATGTCAAATCACTGAGTTGCGATCCGATCGAGTAATCGTTCTATCGAAATGACACGTGAATACGGATTTAAGACTGTAAATGTTCGCTTGAGTCACGCGCCGGTCAACCGCCTGTGATATTATTCTGTTTTGCGAAATTGACGAAAATGAGTGAACAGAAAAAGTCGTATTATAATTGTTCGGTATTTGGTTGCTTAAACTCATCATTAAATACCGAATTTTCATTTTTCAAATTACCAGTTGATTCGGGGAGGTAAGTTATTTATTTGAATTNTTAGGGGCATTTTTTGGAGAAAATAAAATAACCAAAAAAACACGAATTTTTAAGCATTTTTTTTTCAAAAAGTATCATTTTTTATTATTTGTTGGCATTTTTTGTGTATTTTATGTATTTTTTTAGTATTGCCTGATATTTAACATTATTACTGTTTTTTTTTTATCAGGATATACCGCTTCGTTTAAAAGTTATTACGTTTTCTTTACAATAAGTAATTCGAAGAAAAAAAAATCTATAAAAAATTAAAAAAAAATCTCAAAAATTTTTTGACCTCTTTTTTGTCGATAAAAATAGGTCTTGTTTCATCTATTTTCATATGTACACTTTAACGTGACTCACACTGTATTTTGTGACTAAAGCCCGTATTCACAAACAATACTATGCGGTCTCACAGTGCGCGTGGACGCACAGGGTGACACACGAACTAATCTTACGCCCGTATTCACAAACATTACTAAGATGTCTCACAGTGCGCGTGGACGCACAGGGTGACAACGAACTAATCTCACGCCCGTATTCACACACATTACTAAGAGGTCTCACAGTGCGCGTGGACGCACAGGGTGACAACGAACTAATCTCACGCCCGTATTCACACACATTACTAAGAGGTCTCACAGTGCGCGTGGACGCACAGGGTGACACACGAACTAATCTTACGCCCGTATTCATAAACATCACTATGAGGTCTCACTGTGCGCGTGGACGCACAGGGTGACACACGAACTAATGTTACGCCTGTATTCATAAACATCACTATGAGGTCTCACAGTGCGCGTGGACGCACAGGGTGACACACGAACCAATCTCAGAGCTCTATTCAACGCTGTGCGTTCGATTTACTGCTTCACTTAAGCAAGCATCGTTTGTGAATACTGCCCCCCTAGACAAAACGCACTTTTTGATCGAATCGAAAATCGAATCCGTCAAAACTCCATACAAAAAAGGGGCTTTTCGACCACTTTTCGACTGATTATAATTTGCACTTTGTCTAGACCTACAGATGTAGTAAATGATGATGATGCATTAAACGCTCTGCTGGATCTTATACCACTGCATATGCATGTGCAAAAAGAAGCCAAGCAGAGCACATATAGAATCTGCACCCGCACGAAAGTCAGATGGGCTTCTCAAAATCTGATAAGACTCAAGGAATCAGTACTTGAAAACAAACTTCTGTGCATGCCCAGTGACGACATGCATACGGAATGTAACTTCACCAAACTATATTCCGTAAATTTACCTCCTAGAGACAAATGGCTAGAAGGCCAAATGTCATTTAAGGAAGGTAGTCACGTCTGGTACACGGACGGATCCAAAAAGGAAAATAATGTAGGTTGCGGGATCTACGGAGAGAAGCCTAAGCTCAAAGTTAGCCTAAACATGGGGACTGAAGCCTCAATCTTCCAAGCCGAGGTCTTTGCCATAAACAAATGTGCAGAGATAAACTTGGAAAGGAAGCTCCAGGATCAACACATCTACATCAACTCAGACAGCCAAGCAGCACTGCTGGCCTTAACATCCTTCGAATACACGTCAAAATTGGTGCAAACATGCACCGAGACACTGAATGCACTGGGAAATACCAACAAAGTAACGCTTACATGGGTACCAGGACATTCGAATATAGAAGGAAACGAAGTAGCAGATGAACTCGCCAGAGATGGAGCCGATAACCCTCAAATCGGCGTAGAACCGTTCTGTGGCATTACCAAACAACGAGCCACCACGCTACTAACCGCCCTCTGCAAACAAGAGGCTATTGAGTGGTGGAAGTCTACATCGGGACAAAAACACTCAAAAGCACTCATTCAGGGATATAGCAATAAAGTAACTAAGGAACTGCTAAAGTTCAAAAGATACAAAGCCTGTGCAGTGACTAGAATACTGACCGGCCACTGCAAACTAAACAAACATAAATCGAACATGAACATGACCGAGGAAACTCTGTGCAGATTCTGCCATACAGAAGAAGAAACGGCCATGCATGTTCTTTGCTCATGCTTCCCGCTTATGAGCAAAAGAAGTATCCATCTCGGGCGACACATCATGCACCCGGATGAGATAGCAGATATCACGCTCCAAAGAATCTGGAAATTTATAGACTCAACGGGACTAAGCAGTGAACTTTAAAGACAAGGGCTGCCACAATAGATCAAACCTGGTCGAGTTGGCGCAAATAAAGGCCCAAAAACCAATAATAATAATAAAAATGATGATGATGATGATGATGATGATGACGTCACAACTCACCCGAACTCAAACGTATCCGGATCAGCTCTGAGCCGGTATTCTTCGTATAACAACTGAACCAGGTCCTCGCCTTCGGTGCACTTTGTTATGTCTTTCAGTTTGTTTATAGCTGTTTCAAATCTGAAACAATACATGAAACATTCATTTATTTATTTACCAGCTTCCCGCCCGCGGCTTAGCCCACGTGGAATTTTGTCTGTCACAGAAAAAAAATATCGCGCGCGTCCCTGTTTCAAAAACCGGGACAAAAACTATCCTATGTCCTTTCCCGGGACTCAAACTATCTCTATGCCAAATTTCATCAAAATCGGTTCAGTGGTTTAGGCGTGAAAGAGAGACAGACAGAGTTACTTTTGCGTTTATAATATTAGTACAAATATGTTATTCTGGGTTATAAACAATAACACTGTACAGTTTTATCAAAATCCGTTCAGTAGTTTTTGCGTGAAAGAGTAACAAACATCCAGACATCCATACAAACTTTCACATTTATAATATTAGTAGGACTACATCAAATTCATGCGGGCAAAAGTAATATGATCAAAACTATATCTAGATCTAACCCTTAACTCAGCCAGTGCCTGAGGTATGGCAGAAGGAGGGTGTTTTAGTGACGTCATAATATGTCAATGTCACTGGGCACTTTAGGCACGTGCGACCGAGGGGGCTCCCATCTGCTCAAAAGACCTATTTCCAAATAAAAGCCCTTGATCCTAAAGTGCCCAGGGCCCCTTTGTTAAAGACGGCCCTGAATCAGGCAGTGACTGAGTTAAGTTAAAGCCCGGTCTGTGAGCACGTAGAATTTTGTCCAATGACCCCAAGCTACCCATCCTTATCGCTCGCGCGTTATTATATTGCTGTCGCGACTGTGCGACGGGCGCCCGCAGTGAGTGTGCGAGCGCGATACATAATTACGCGCGAGCGATAAGGATGGGTAGATTGGGGTCATTGGACAAAATTCTACGTGCTCGCAGACCAGTCTATACCTATAAACAACTCACTCAATGACAGCCTTCATATTATCCACCATCAACCTCGCCATCTCGGCCGCAACTGGAGTACCATCGCCGACCGATGCCAACATGTCGCACAGCTGTCGCGACAGACTCGAGCGGGTGTCGAACCCGCGACCGCTGGCCAGAATCATGCGGGCCACTTCGACGCAGAGGGAGAGAGACACGTCTGGCTTGTCCTAAAAAATAAAAATCTAAAATATTCATTCAATTTCGACCAGTATTTTGGCACTTATGAACGTCAAAGTTAAAAAAAATAGAAGTAAGTATTTTCTACAGGCTACACTTCGGAGAATGTGCGAACGAATTACACGAACTAATTCCACCAGCCCCCTTCCATCATCGAGGAACCAGACGCAGGTTAGCGTACCATCCCTATATTGTTTACATTCCACCAGCTCGCACTAAGCGTTTCGATGACTCTTTTATAATGCGAACAGCTAGGGACTGGAATTCGTTGCCTGCTGCTGTCTTTCCCGAAGACTATAATCCGGGCGTTTTCAAGGCGAGAGTGAATAGGTACTTACAGGGCAGATACGTGGGACACTATTTAAGTTGTGAGCCTAACTATGAAAACAAAGTAGTTTATTATTTAAATGGTATTGATTGCGTTTATTGATATTGTCTTTCATGATTTATGTACTTTTTAATGTGTCCGAAATACTTTTCATAGCATTTTTTCCACTCAGCTTGAGGCACCTCTAAAGCATGGTTTTTGACCGCACCGTCTGTTGCTTCTGGCTACATAAATCGCTGTTCACGCATTTAATTTTTAATATATGGGTACCAAAAGAAGTGTTTAGATTCCAAGCAAGAATTTTGTAGCGTTGGACCTGTTTATTTCATATTTTGAGTGTTTAAATAGTCAGTTGTTTGACGAGACGTGTAAAAGCTCACATTTTCGTCACGAATGGCGATTCGACTAAGCTGGTTAGTTTCCCTTAATAAACTGAAGACTTTTGGGAAAAAAGTGGCTGTTTACTATTAAGAATTAACCATTCTAAATTTCTCTAGTGACGTTTCTGTCACATAATCGGATATTTCGGAAAAATAGGCGACCGTAAGTTTCAAAGTGTTCCGAGCGCATGGGACTTTTGTTGGAATTGGTTCGACGTCTCCTGCAAAGGGGTCGTGCAAATGACATTTGACCATTTTCATCTCGATAACCTGGCAACACTGGAAGTTATGGGGAAAAGTATTTTTTGCGACATGGGTGTCTTTAAAGTTAAGGACGGACAGAAGAAGTTATGGCAGAAAAAGTCTGAAAATGGGGTTTAGTCGGTTATACGACCCACATTATAGGAAAAATCCGAAATATCAGAAAATCAAAATGGCGACCGAGTGCGCGGCCATTTTGTAAAAAGTTTCAGATTTTTTATTTTTCCAAGGCTTTTTTCGGGTAGTTGGTAACATCTGGGAAAGTTAAATTGTTTGTGTGTTTTGTCAAGAGGTGTCGCTTGGGTAAAGAAATTTCTTTTCAGCGGGACAGTCCATCCCAAAAAAAAAAAAACCGGTTGGAATTTCTGCAATGTTGCCATATTGTTGGAGATTTGGTCCTTATATTTAAGAAAGAAATGGAAATAATGACTTCCGGTGATGATTTTTTTTACTGAAACGTGTGCAAATAAGTGAAACTAATGACATTTGACCATTTTTATCTCAATGACCTGGCAACACTTGGAGTTACGGGATTACACAATTTTTGGACATGAGGTTTGTTCGGAACTCGGTAAACTTAGAGAAAAAGTAAAAATGGGGTTCGGTGCGGAAAGTAGTCCAGATCAAAGAAAAAATACAAAATTTTGAAAATCCTAGATGGCCGCCAAGCTGTCAATCGCTTTCGTAACCGAACTAAATTCTCGATACAAATTGTATACAGGAGCTTACTAAGGCGAGACCCAAGGCCGAACGATAGTTCAAAGAACGAAAATCGCCACACTGAAAACCAGCGTCGTGGCCTCCCTCACCGGGGGCCACGGAATATGCTGAGTGGAGTCCATTGCGATGGACATCGCTGTGCGACAGGGTGGCACTGCTCAGTTTACTTTTATTTTCATTGTATGTTTTATGTCACCTATGTCTTATTTACTTTTTTTTTCTATTATTTACATCTTTTGTCTTCTGTGATGTCCATTGGAAATAAATGTTTCTTTCTTTCTTTCTTTCCATAAATTTAATTTTAATATTTAAGACAGGACTGCAGCCCAGTGTTATAAGAATATTAATTGCGCATATAGCAGCTATTTCCACAAAGTTTTATTGCTATCTAAAAAGAAATATCAGTTACGTGGGACACTATTTAAGTTGTGAGCCTAACTATGAAAACAAAGTATATTATTATTTAAATGGTATTGATTGCGTTTATTGGTATTGTCTTTCATGATTTATGTACTTTTTAATGTGTCCGAAATACTTTTCATAGCATTTTTTCCACTCAGTTTGAGGCACCTCCAAAGCATGGTTTTTGACCGCACCGACAGTTGCTTCTGGCTACATAAATCGCTGTTCACGCATTTAATTTTAATACATGGGTACCAAAAGAAGTGTTTAGATTCCAAGCAAGAATTTTGTAGCATTGGACCTGTTTATTTTATATTTTGAGTGTTCAAATAGTCAGTTGTTTGACGAGACGTGTGAAAGCTCACATTTTCGTCACGAATGGCGACTCGACTATGCTGGTCAGTTTCCCTTATTAAACTGAAAACTTTTGGAAAAAAGTGGCTGTTTACTATTAAAAATTAACCATTCTAAATTTCTCTAGTGTCGTTTCTGTCATATAATCGGATATTTCGGAAAAATAGGCGACCGTAAGTTTCAAAGTGTTCCGAGCGCATGGGACTTTTGTTGGAATTGGTTCATCTTAAAACACCTCCATAGTCGATAGCTGTTTATTTTCAGGATCATTATGCATAGATCCTAAATTCGTCAACTGTCACAATTTTAAAAACGACTTTTAAAGCTTTTTAAACGTATTTATCAAACATTTCCAAGGACTAAACGACACAAACGTCCTATTGAGCGTTTGAAAAATTTTGTGACATCCAGCGAGAAAAAAACGTATTAACCATAATATGGTCATACAATGTTTTATTACTGCTAGTGGAATTAATGCCTAGGGTTGTCTCAATCCTACGATATATCACATGACGAGGTTTCTCTTCCATTTTTCTAACAACATCAATGTTTTCCGCCACTATTAGTCATTTTGGACGACTTTCGCAAAGTTCACTGGTGAGTCAATGACATAAAATATTATACTTCTTAAACTAGCGTTATACAATGTTAAAAGACAGATCTTTATCACCAAAAGTGAAATTTAGCTGACCGCTTCAGTTTTGTATTGATTAACCACGTCGAAAGTCACAATAAATATTCGCGCAAAAATTTCCGCAAGTCAATTCCATGTTTTTGTAGTCAAGATAATTTTCAATTCAATGTTAATAATACAAAACGTGCTCAAATGATAAAAAGTTTTGAATAAGATTGTAGTCAAAAATGTCAAACTTTTCATTAAAAGTATCAGGTGTCGTCTAACAACACGTTATGATGTCGAGGCTCACAACTTAAATAGTTCCCTAGTAGGAGAAAAATTTCGAATGGAAAATGTCCACAGGAAATTAAATAGATTTCTTAAAAAAAATTAGTATTGTTAGTTAGGAGGTATATTGCCACTTTACCATTGGTATTATACACGAGTGTACGTGCACCTGTCACAAATCTAGCCGAAGACCCAAGAGCTAGACTGACCCGACACTTTACCGAAGATATCCCGGACGTCAGTCTGTACGAGATTAGAATGGCTCTCAAACAGCTGAAGAACAACAAGGCACCGGGTGATGATGGAATCACGGCTGAGCTTTTGAAGGCAGGCGGAACGCCGGTACTGAGGGCTCTTCAGAAGCTGTTCAATTCCGTCATCCTCGAAGGGAAAACGCCTACGACATGGCACAGAAGTGTGGTGGTACTCTTCTTCAAAAAAGGTGACAAAACCTTATTGAAGAATTATAGACCCATCTCACTTCTGAGCCATGTCTACAAGCTGTTTTCAAGAGTCATTACGAATCGTCTCGCTCGCAGGCTCGACGACTTCCAGCCTCCCGAACAAGCCGGTTTCCGAAAAGGCTTTAGTACCATAGACCACATACATACGCTAAGGCAGATTATACAGAAGACCGAGGAGTATAATCAACCACTTTGCCTGGCGTTTGTGGATTATGAGAAAGCCTTCGATTCGGTCGAGACCTGGGCAGTGCTACAGTCTCTCCAAAGGTGCCAAATTGACTATCGATATATCGAAGTGTTGAGGGATTTGTACAAAAACGCCACAATGTCGGTCCGCCTCCAGGATCGGGATTCGAAACCTATCCAGTTGCAGCGAGGGGTAAGACAGGGAGACGTCATATCTCCAAAACTGTTTACCNTGAGAAAAAAACGTATTAACCATAATATGGTCATACAATATTTTATTACTGCTGGTGGAATTAATGCCTAGGATTATCTCAATCCTACGATATATCACATGACGAGGTTTCTCTTCCATTTTTCTGACAACATCAATGTTTTCCGCCACAATTAGTAATTTTGGACGACTTTCGCAAAATTCCCTGATGAGCCAATGACATACAATATTATACCTCTTAAACTAGCGTTTTACAATGGTAAAGGATATATCTTTATCACCAAAAGTGAAATTTAGCTGACCGCTTCAGTTTTGTATTGATAACCACGTCGAAAGTCATAATAAATCTTCGTGCAAAAGTTTCCGCAAGTCAATTCCATGTTTTTGTAGTCAAGATAATTTTCAATTCAATGTTAATAATACAAAACGTGCTCAAATGATAAAAAGTTTTGAATAAGGTTATAGTTAAAAATGTCAAACTTTTCATTAAAAGTATCAGATGTCGTCTAACAACACGTTATGTTGTCGAGGCTCACAACTTAAATAGTGCCCTAGTATGTACCATCCTAGACTGCATCCCACTTAACATCAGGTGCGATTGTGGTCAAATATCTGCATTGTTATGCATAAAAAAAATAGAAAAGGATAGGCTATATTCTAGACGGCTCAGCGAGAATTGAGGCGAACACGTACTCACACTGAATTTGAATATTTCGTGCTTAGTGCAAGTTTGCATTGAACGTCATCGCTAGCGAGTGCGTCAAAACGGATGCGAATGTTCTTAAGAGTATCCGCTAGAACACCCTGTACAGTGTGCAGTCTTTCATACTTTCATGATATTTTTTTCGCAGTCGCTAGCGAAAACGTACGGTGTAAACTTGCAATAAGAACACAGAACACAAATAACACATTAAAGTTCAAATATTGGATACACTATCTACCTCGCTGATGGCCTCAACATGCATAGGCCGCGCAACGTGAGTTGAGGGTTGATGATGACATTAACAGATAACCTTAACGCGGGACTATTCCCACCGCTGCAAGTCCTGTGTAGCCAGGATCTACAGCTTGACCGCCAATAACCCAACCAGTGAAGGTCAAGTTTGTCCCGGGGGAAAGTTAACTGTCATTGGACCCGCAACGAAATTAATCAGAAGAACAGATGAGGAGTTCGAAATTAAGGTTTCAAATCAGTTTTATAGGTCGCTCAAAGTGATTTGAGTTCATTAACACAAGCAAAGATTTGTATCTGTCTGCTCTGACGTCATCCACGAAGTTTTATAGCTCACACAAAATAATAAAATCTTACCTTAGCAAACGATAGAAAGGATCCTAAGATGTCATCGATTGGTATTTGAACGTTAATACCACTTTGAGTTTCATCTGAAAACAGAATAAATCCATTAGTGATCCCTATTTATCAATTTTCTGCCCTACATAGATAACATAAAGTTCAAATTACAAAAACAATCAGTCTTACCAAGTTTAACGCGAGCTCGTTTCCCCATAGTACTCAAAAAGGACCCTTGATAAGTCCTTGTGTTTGTCACCAGTTTTGAAGACATCGAAAGTGGATCCCTGATGGTGGAAACAGAATTGTTCATATCTACAACTGCATATCTAGCACACACTATGCGATATTAAGTAGTTATAGTCAGCGTCAAATAGTTCATGACACCCAAACTGGCCAAAAAGTTGACAATGCGACCTTATTGCAATTTCAATTAGAAGTCAAGTGGTCTCTGTTTATGACTGTGTCCTAATGTAGTTCTGAAAAATACTTTTACAGAATCACAAAATCAGTTTAAGTAGCTTCGTCATAAATGTGTCATCTCTGAGTATTTCTTTGTTTTTTTAATTGTGGTTGACAATAAAGTGTTTTTATCTAACTATCTGTCCGTTACATCCCTGGCAAAATTGTTCGGTTGTTTCTAAGGCTGAGTTGCATGCAACATCTTCCTTTAGCTAAAACATTGCAACATCTTCCTATACGTAAAAAATCTGTCAAACTCCATACAAAAAGCACCGGTTATAGTTATAGTTACGGTTAAAGTAAGTTGGTGCAATTCAGCCTAAGATTCTCAGGAACAAATATACATAAAAAAATTACACGGGCAATGCTTAAAAGTCAAATACAAATTAAAATCAAGTTTACCTGAAATCCAAGGCGTCCTCCCTCAGTTTGGCTAGTTTAAATCTTTCCTGGCCCCTCAGGCCTTTGAATAGTAGGTCGAAGAAGGCCGACGCACAGACAGACGGTTCTCGATTCTTATTCATAGTAGCTGGCATGCAGAACGATATGAGGAAGCTCTCTGCTAGTCTGGAAGTAAAATATACTATGATCAGTTAATAGTTAACGTCCTACAAGGTGGACAGACGACCTGATAAAGGTAGCAGGAAGGCGATGGATGCAGGTCGCTACCAAGTCTACCAACCGTGCGATGTGAAAGTCATTGGGGGAGGCCTATGTTCAGCAGTGGACGTCCTGTGGCTGAAATGATGATGATGATACGTGGAAATCCTTGGGGGAGGCCTTGGTCCAGCAGTGGACGTCATTTAGCTGAAACGAACGAACCTCCACTCACCTGATCTTCATATCGTCTCCATTTAAACACTTCCCTACCCTTTCTCTCGCGTTACTGGTTATAGTCCGGTCGCCGAGCACGTAGAATTTCGTCCAATGACCCCAAGCGTCAGTCACAGCTAACGATATACTCTCAATAACGGAGCTAGTATACATTGAGTACTGATACCGCAGTGGATAATTAGCACATATTCTGATTACTTTGTGTGTGTGAATTTCTAAAGCGACACTGAGTTTCGAACTCTGCGTATTAGTTGGCATGTTTCTATATCTCTATGGTAGAAATCCTTGTGGGAGGCCTTGGTCCAGCAGTGAACGTCATTTAGCTGAAACGAACGAACCTCCGTGGTTGAGGATTCCGGGTGAAGCTCGCTTCCACCTTCGGCCTGATCATCACTTACCATCAGGTGAGATACAGGCCAAGAGCTTCCTCGTTGTGGATAAAAAAAAACCACCACTCACCTGATCTTCATATCGTCTCCATTCAAACACTTGGCTACCCTCTCTCTCGCGTTACTAGCTATACCAACATCACTGTCAGTCACAGCTAACGATACGCTCTCAATAACGGAGCTAGTATACGTATCGGGTGACTCGATGTTGTGTAGTATTTTGCTCGGATGTGATTTTGGAATCTTAGCTGATGGTTCGCCGTGTTTTGGGCCGAAAAGATCTGTAAAGAAAATTGTTATTTAGTTTTTTCAATTAAATGTTATATGGCCTAGGAGTTATTTGTTTTTTAAAAGCGATTTTACACGTACTAAAGTCTGGTCGACGCGCACGTAGAATTTTGTCCAATGACCCCAAGCTACTGCGCGCCCCAAGCTACTCGCGACTAAGCGACGGGCGGCCGCAGTGTGCGAGCGCGACAGCAACATAAATACGCGCGAGCGACAAGGATGGGTAGCTTGGGGTCATTGGACAAAATCCTAGGTGCTCAGGGACCGGACTATAGTATAATTAATATTGAAGCGATTTATTCAATTACACTTTTAAATCGTGATTAGCCACATACTGGTGATGCTATGAACCATTGCAGAACTATTTTTTGGGACACATGGCCAGGATGTATTGACGTTTGGTCAAAAAACTTGCAAAGGTTAGCACATAACTGACCTTCACTGGTTGGGTTATTGGCGGTCAAGCTGTAGATCCTGGCTACACAGGAGTTGCAGCGGTGGGAACGAGAGGTGGGAATAGTCCCGTATTAACACAACACATAACTGAGTCAGTGCCTAAGCTGTGAGAGCGACGCGGGAGGGACATTGACATATTATGACGTGACAGAGAATACAAATCTGAAGCAAATGTCTCGCTGATGTTGGACGTTACAAAGACACCCTCTCGTGGCGCTCCCATGCCTCAGGCACTGACTCTGTTAAGCGAAAAGCCTATGGTTTCTGATAATGATAACAATTATAACTTACCTTCAAACACATTCAGCATCACCGTGACAGCCAGTCCCCTGATACTCCTGTCACTGTGACTGACACACGTCACCACCCCTCCTACCACCTGTGAGAAAGATAGAAAATAATTTTATTTGGCAAAAAAGACAGACAGACAGGCATTTCAGCTACAGGACGTCCATTGCTGAACATAGGCCTCCTCCAATGACTTCCACATCGGACGGTTGGTAGCGGCCTGCATCTAGCGTCTTCCCGCTACCTTTATCAGTGGCCTAATTTACGTTTGACACAGGGTTCGAAAATATCCGATATTTATTATAAATATCAAAATATCGGATATTTATGATATATATCCGATATATATCAACTTTGATATATATCAATTTTGTATGAAAGCCATAGTATTATTTTATTGTATTATTCATGAATACCATTGCATATGTGTTATATAAACATGTTTTTAATGTTTTTAAAACTTAAAATCAGACAAATAAAGCAAAAACATAAAATATCTTTGAAATACGGCAAAAACAACTAAAAAATTAAAAATCTTATGTCAAAAAGTACAAATACAGTAACAAATTTTAAAAGTTGATATATATCATCAAAACCGGCTTGATATATATCGGATATATATCCGATATATATCTTGATATATATCCCTTGATATATATCCTCGAACCCTGGTTTGACACAGTCAAAATCTCGTTGAAGTTTAGTAGTCCTATTGAAAAACAGTTCTAAATCCGTATTCACGTATCATTTCGATAGAAAGATTACTCGATAGGATCGCAACGTTTGTGTCGGTGTTTATCGGCCGTTTGGTGTAGTGGTTCAGAACGGACTACTATGCCGAGAGGTCCCGGGTTCAATGAGGATCATTTCGATTTTTAGCTGTGAATGCAGATTTATAGGGCTAAGAAATCCTTAATACACAGTCCAAAAATTTTTGTTCTACGACAAAAATTGACGAAGTTATGGCCAAATTACTAAAAAATTTCACTGACCGCCCGGCGCGGGGACGATGACGTCACTATATCCGATCCGAACGCTGCCGGCGTACTGCGTGGATAGAAAATATTTTTTTCTAGCCAAACTATCAGTTTTAGAGAAAAACTTGTAATGACATTTATTCATCAGAATAAAGTAAGCTATCGATAGGTAATTTAAAAAAATAGAAATTGTGAAAAATACCGCAAACAACAAACTCATACGATTCAATGGAACGCAGAGACGCGATTGGGGTCTCCGCGGTGGTATATTTGGCGATTTATTCAAATAAAGTGACACTCACCCCCAACCGCGTCTACGCATTGCATCGAATCCTATGAAAATGTGGTTTTTGGACATAGCGGTACTTATTTTTCACAATTTTTATTTTTTTAAATTACTGGTCGATAGGTTACTTTATTTTGATGAAGAAATGTTATTAAAAGTTTTTTTCTAAAACTGATAGTTTAGCAGGAAAAAAATATTTTCCATCCCAATAGTACGCCGGCTGCGCTCGATTCGGATATAGTGACGTCACGCGAATTTTTCAATCGTCGGATAACTTTTAACTAAAGAATAAGTTTGGCACATTGCAGTTTTAGTATGGGAAATATGTCAAAATGACAAGGTTATTCCTCAGATAAAAGATATCTGACGATTGAAAAATCAGCCCTAAGTAGTATATCCGTTAAACTAGCACCCATAACACAAGCATTAAGTTGCTTACTTTGGGGCTAGCTGGCGCTGTGTGAAATTAAAAAAAAAACTAGGTAATAGGTGAATACCGCGGAGGCAACGATTGAATACGCATAGAAACGAAATCGAAACAAAATCGGGCGACTAACACGTGAATACGAAAGATGACTCCAGCGATCAAATCACTTGCATGTCGTTGAAGTTTTGTTACGTGAATTAGGCCACAGCCACTTAGAAAATTATCAATCAGTTTTTTGCAATAATTAAATTAATATAACCTGTCTCCCCACCCTCCCTCGAGTCAAGCACCGCGCATCTGACACCAGCTTCAGACTCTCTGAAGGCAGCTCTCTGAGGAGACTGCAGATGTCGAGGGTAGACAGCAATTCCGTCTGTTCGGTGTGGGATATGTAGGTGGACAGTATACGGAGGCATTTGGACTTCGTGTGGCCTACTACCCTAGCTGTTAGTTGCAGGACCATTCTGGAAGAGAAACAAAAAAACTGAATTAAATAGTACCAGGCCTGTTCATCTCCGCGAGTTTACATTGAAAACAAAACACGCACGATGGCCCACCTACAGGATACTATTCGACAAGGCCTCACATACGAGCGAACATTGACTCACCCACGCGTATTCTTGTGTATGATGGAAGAAAATAAAGAAAATGCTGTACTAAAAACTGTGCAGTATTTAACTGCCTAAATATTAATAAAACACAGAATGTACTTTTTTAAGTTGCCTCAAGACACTGAGAGGTAAATAAGTAGTTAATATTATTCATGATAATTCATGCTAAATGATGTATTTCCTCCGCCATTTTCCGCAGTTTGGCACCTCACGTCACATCATTTTACCGAAGTCAGCCCTATAGCTTCGGCGCAGTGCCGATCACTGACGTTTGTCAACAAAATGGTGCTTGACTCTTGAGACAGGCTAAATTACACCATATTGTTAATGACATTGAGCATAATACATTTTTTTTAATACCTTCGCGAAGTAAAACTTCTGTACGTAGTACTTATTATTATTCTGTGATAGTACTTACACACGGCCACACTATTAACTATCCATTTCCGTTTTTGCTCTCGCTCCAATCAAATGGTGATTCTTTGCGATCGAAAAAGACGACATGACATGGATAGTTAACACTGTTGCCGATGGTACAAATTGTTAATTTTTTAAGACCGAAAAAATGGAAAGGAAAAAATACGATTTATAGTTATAGTTTTTGCAACTCACGAAGGCGAGTGAGCTTTATTTGACGGACGTTTGTAAATTATCTACCTACATAAAATCTGTTAATTTCTCATGTAAGTGACTGTAATGTTTTTAATGAGAAATAAATGTTCTTTAAACCTTATTTGTGTGTGTACGTGTACATGCACATAACGATAGAACAGTAGCGAGCCACCACACATGTAAATCTCACTCGCCTCCGTGAATCGCAACAACTATAAACACTTAACTAAGCCTTAACTAGTAGATAAGTTAATTTCTGTAACACATTTGTTTGTAATTCCTAAAATAAATAAATAAATAAGCCAGTGCCTAAGGTATGGGAGCGACACGGGATCGGTGGCATTGACATATTTTATTATGACGTGACAGATGATAATATAGTTCCAAAATACTGAACTGTCCTATGCATGACATTGACAGTGGGGCGCCACCGTCAATACCGGATCGCTGGTTCCGATTTTTGCCATGTTGGAAACCATATAGTTGAACGATGGTAGCGCACCCCTGTCATTGAGTTTGGTGGGACAGTTCAGCGTGGGTCATCTATATCTGAAGATAATTTGAAGACTCGCTGACGTTTAACGTCACAAAACACCCTCCCGTGCCCCTCTTATAACTCAAGCCCGGTTTCCACCGAGGCGGAGAGCGGAGAAGTGTGAGGTCGTAAAATTTTTCGATAGAATTTGGAGCGGAGAGTAGAAGTAAAAATAATGAAATCTGATTGGTTGTTCATAACACTTCTCCGTTCTCTGCTCCATCTTAGTGGAAAGATCTATAAATAAAAATTTATATTTATAAATAAATAATTTATTTCTAAGAAGTAGTACAGACTTAACATTTTCAGCGGCTTCTGCACTAAGCTCACGCTTGTATCGCAGGTGCCAAATAACACAACTCTAAAAGTAAATTACAGTAGCAGTCGGACAAACAGTTTTATTTTTAAGCTAGTGGCAAAATGATATCTAAGGTAATATTAAACAGTCAATTAAATACTATTTTGATAACAATTACAATATAGAAAATTGAAGTTTGGAATTTTTAAGAGCCATTTCACAAAAATATTCCTTATCTTTTTTTTTTAATTCCCTTTTTTTACACGCCGTTGGGTTTTTTGTTTTACACTCGAAAAACATAACCCACCCTCCTTCTGGCGCAGTCGGGTAATTAACTAATTAATAATAACACTCACTCACCCCATCGCATCGTTCCGTTCGGTTCATGATAATATTCGGCCGACGACGGCGAGAGGGCGGCGGAGGCCTCCAGCCGCCGCCGCCGCCGCAGACAGCGACCGCCCGCCCGCACGCCCGCCACACCACCAGCACCAGCACCAGCAGCAGCAGCAGCAGCAGCAGCAGCAGCAGCAGCAGCAGCAGCACACATTGTTCACGCACCACCAACTGAAATTATGAACGGAGAAACCACATAAGTATCTGTGTATGATACCACAACAACATCACACGCATCACTTTGGCACTTTGTTTGTTCGCACACATAATCATTTATCGTTTAAATCGCTCTCAATTTACTTGCTTTTACCGCACAACACACACAACTAACTGAATGAACGAATAACAACAACAACAACAAGTAGCCACCTGAGTTAACTTATAACTTGTCTTGCATTTGATGCGCGTCGTCGTTCACTTTTCGCCATTTCAGCGGCAAAATGATAACACAATGCAGTTATTAAATAATCTCTGGGTGTTGCTTAAGATAGTAATTCATGCTTCCAAAATCTTAGAAATTCGCACGAAAATATAAAATGGCTCTTAAACAAAATTGGAATGTACGGTTTTAATTAAAAATCTTAATTAAAATTGGTAATGGGAATGTGTGTGCGCGCGTGTGTGCGTGTGTGTGTGTGTGTGTGTGTGTGTGTGTGTGTGTGTGTGTGTGTGTGTGTGTGTGTGTGTGTGCCTGTGCGTGTATAGCAAAAATACTTACTTAAAATGATACTCGTCACATATCATAGGATAGCCAATCTGCGCATAATACAGCAACTTAACGTAAGAATCAATCTCCTCCTTCTGTCTCTGTCTGTCCATGAACTGTCTGTACTTAGAGACCGGTCGCTCCGTCTCGCTCGCACACGCCAACGCTTGGCCAAACAGTTCGGCCAACTTTATCTCGTGCCAATGTCTTTCTTCCAATGCTATTAAGGATGGTAGAAGCTCGGGAATGTGTATTTTGTGTTTTGTTACAATTAGAAGAATGCGTAGTACTGCTTTTTGTTTTTCGCGCACTGGAAATGGAGATAAAAATTAATTGTATTTGACACCATTCGATAATCATTTTGAAGAACATTTTTAAAAACACACTTCATTCTAGAGTTTTAAGAAACTAGAGTTTTTAGTCTTCATTTCGAGACTGAGTCTATTTCCAAGACTAAGACTCTTTGGTCACATGAGTCCGAGTAGTTTGAATCTTCTAAGTCCTTATTTATTTCAATACTCAAACTTTGGAGGACTCAGTCATGAGTTCTTTTAAAAAGACTCAGTATTTATGTTCTTTTTGACAGGACTCGAGTCTTCGAGAGTCTCTAAGAGTCTCAGAGACTCCGAGACTTAACATTCTAAAGGACTGAGCTCTAAGTTTTATTTATAAGACTCGAGTCTTCATAAATAGTTCAAGTTCTATTAAATAAGACTCCAAGACTCGAGTTTCTTACAGCCTTTAGTTCGTTTACGTATCTCCTCATTTCTAATTCAATTACAATACTAACCAGTACCAGTCACAAGGTGGACCGATGACCTCATAAAGGTAGGAGGAAGGCGTTGGATGCAGGCCGCTACCAACCGGCCATTATGGAAATCATTGGGGGAGGCCTATGTTCAGCAGTGGACATCTTATGGCTGGCATGATGATATGACTTACCAGTAAGAAAACTCTCAAAGCACTTCCACGGCACTGCCACCAATCTACCATAGACTTCCAAACTTCTGTCCAATAGACCTGCCAGCCAGTTCATCATGCTAGCATAGCCGTGGTTGTCTATGCACGTGTTTATTAGATACTCTATGGCCGAATTCAGGTGCTCCGTCAATTTTGCATGCTATGTGCCCTGTCCATTGCCACTTCAGCTTGCTAAAGGACGAAGAACACTTTTCATCCCGAAAACGAATCGTAACCGTATCAACTCGAGGCGGTCAATATTATTTGCACGAAACCAAGTACTGCAACGCACACTTATCCGCACCGTAACGTAAACGCCTCGCCTCGCGGTTGATAGCGCGCGAAAGGTGTAAGTGCGTAACCGTGTTGATCCTTTTCCGGGTCGATAAGTCTGCTATGACCTTAATCCATCATGGTTTATTTCGTTTACGGATACACTTACCAGTACCAGTCACAAGGTGGACCGACGACCTCATAAATGTAGCAGGAAGGCGCTGCTTGTACTACCAGACTTACCAGTGAGAAAACTCTCAAAGCACCTCCACGGAACTGCCACCAATCTACCATAGACCTCCAGACTCCTGTCCAATAGACCTGCCAGCCAGTTCATCATGCTGGGATATCCGTAGTTATCTATGCACGTGTTTATTAGATACTCTATGGCCGAGTTTAGGTGGTCCGATGGTTGCAGGTCTGGTGTATCTTTCCAGTGGAGGAGGGTTTCTAGCTGGAAAGAGGAAAGACATTTTAGATAAATGAACTGTCAAACTACAGTGGTGACGACAAGGTTCAACAGTTCTGTCATAAAATAATATATTTTTTTTTAAAAACTCAAAAAAAGGTCACTAAAAAGTAGAAATATAAGTTTTAAATTCAAATAGTTCATTCAGTACATAGGCCCTTTCCAGGGCGCTTATACACGAATCCTTTTAGAAGGAATGTGCTCACTAAGACGGGATTTTGCAACATTCAACCACGTAAAGGGTAAACGGGGTCCACTCGTACGAAGTCGCGGGCGGCCGCTAGTATGGAAATAAATCTGATTGGTTATTCAAAACACTTCTACGCTCCGCCTTGGCGAAAACTGAACCTAAGACTTGAAGTCGATCAAAACTCACAATATCAACGTGCAGGCTGTTGACCAGTTTCCTCCCGTTGTCCTCTCTCGCTGTAGTCGCCATCACTTCTATAAGAGGGCCTCTGAGGACGCCCGCGTGAGGCTTCAACGCCTCCCTGCAGTTGCATACCATCTGCGGGAATAATATAGTTATTAGTTAGTCAAAATCTACCTAAAAAATTTACCTATAAGATTACTATACATAATACTTGCTATGCTCTTACTTACAGGGTGCATGTGATGTACTACCCTACCATTTACCAACTGTCAAACCACACATTTACATGTGTAAGTGCAAATAAATGATTTGCTTTGATTTGATTTGAAATCTTATTTCATTAAAATGTGGCATTAGTGTTCAGTTTGGTAGTGTTGGGATGTGTCATTAATGTTAGGTTGTGTCACTATTGTTGTGTTGGGTCACCAGTGTTGGAGTTCTATTAATGCTGGAGTGTGTCATTAGCGTTAGTGTGTCACTAGTGTTGCGATGTCATTAGTGTTGGAGTGTGCCATTAGTATTGGGGTGTGTCACTAATGTTCAGGAGTGCCACTGTGTTGGAGTGTGTCACTAGTGTTGGTATGTGTCATTAGTGAAGGAATAAGTCATTACTGTTGAGGCATGTCACCTGAGCCAGCGGAGCGCTCCCTGTTAATGCTTTTTTTTTTTTTTTTTTTTTTTTTTTTTTTNTAACAGACTGGAATACCTTTTTTTTCGTCAGGAAAATACATTGATTTGTATACCCACCAGCCGCGGGGGCGGTTAGTGGGTTATGTGGGGTTCTCCCTGCCAGAAGGGCAGGGCCTACCCACTAAAAACCTGACGTTGCCCTCGGTAGCCATATGAGTCGGGAACGCGGGCCATCACTATCGGCATTTTGCCTCAAGCATTCGTCCGCGTTCCCTGCTCGGCATTTCACTCGCTTAAACCAAGCCCAGCCCAACCAAGGCGTTATTACGCCTTCAACCTCCTGCGAGCGGCACGCAGGACACGTGCTGCGCCGTCGCGGCCTCTTTAGACGCCACCAGACACCCCCGTATCTGATGGCCGAGGCCTATTAGGAAGGGGCAGATGGAGGTCATAGAGCCTCCTTCTTTGCCCATGACGTCGGCGGCGGGCAATGGGTGCGTCGGGTGATGCTTCCCGCTCCCTCTCCGCCGCTTCCTTCTGTGAAATGACTGCTTCACAGAAGGTGAGAACTCCACGCCACGCCTCCTCTCCGTTGGTCATATGGTGAACTAAGACCGGTAGAGAGAGGTCATTTCCTATACATATATTGAGGGCCGCACGCTCATCCGCCCAAGCTGGGCATTCTTGGAGCGTGTGCTCAGCTGTATCCACAGTGTCAAGGTTGCAGTGATGGCAGCCTGGTACCTCTTCTCGGCCTATTCTGTGAAGGAAGGCCCCGAAACACCCGTGGCCTGTCAGTAGCTGGGTCATCCGGTAGGTTAGACGACCATGCCGACGTCGCAGCCACTCCGCTAGGACAGGCAGAAGTGCCTGCACAGTGCGACGCCCGACTTGACTAACGGCAGCGAGCGCGGTCACCCATCCAGTGTGGTGCAGAGAGCTCGCGTGTTGTAGCAGACCCATCACAGTGTCAGTACACTCTTGTTGTAGGGTGTGTCATTAGTGTTGGGGTGTCACTAGTGTTGAGGTGTGTTATTAGTATTAGGGTGTGTCACTAGTGTTCAAGCAAGAGTGCCACTAGTGTCGGAGTGTATTATTAGTGTTAGAGTGTGTCACTAGTGTTGAGGGTGTGTCATTAGTGTTGCAATGTCATTAGTGTTGGCGTGTGTCATCAGTCTTGGGATGAGTCACTAGTGTTGGGATGAGTCACTAGTGTTGGAGTGTGTCACTAGTATTGGAGTGTGTCACTAGTGTTGGTGTGTGTCACTAGTGTTCAAGAGTGTCACTAGATGTAGGGGTGTGTTATTAGTATTGGAGTGTCACTAGTGTTGTTGTGTCACTAGTGTTAGCGTGTGTCATCAGTCTTGGGAGTGTGTCATTGTCATCAATATTGACATGTATCATCGTGTCATTACCTGAGCCAGCGGCGCGCTCCCTGTTAATCCTTCAGCGAGCGCGGTCACCCATCCGGTGTGGTGCAGAGAGCTCGCGTGTTGTAGCAGACCCATCACAGTGTCCGCACACTAGTTGTAGGGGTGTGTCATTAGTGTTGGTGTGTGTCACTAGTGTTAGAGTGTCATTAGTGTTGGAGTGTCGTGTTGGAGTGTCCTTAGTGTTAGAGTATGACATCAGTCTTGGGATGAGTCACTAGTGTTGGCGTGTGTCACTAGTGTTCGAGTGTGTCACTAGTATCAGCGTGTGTCATCATTCTTGGGATGAGTCACTAGTGTTGGAGTGTGTCACTAGTATTGCAGTGTGTCACTAGTGTTGGTGTGTGTCACTAGTGTTGGTGTGTGTCACTAGTGTTCAAGAGTGTCATTAGTGTTGGAGGTGCGTCACTAGTGTTGCAATGTAATTTTTGTTGGAGTGTATCACTAGTGTTGGGGTGTATCACTAGTAATGGGCGTGTCTATCAGTGAAGGAATGAGGCATCAGTGTGTCATCGTGTCATCAGTGCTAATGTGTGTCGACAGACCTGAGCCAGTGGCGCGCTCCCTGTTAATCCTCCAGCGAGCGCGGTCACCCATCCAGTGTGGTGCAGAGAGCTCGCGTGTTGTAGTAGACCTATCACAGTGTCCGCACACTTTAGTTGTAGGGTGTGCCATTAGTGTTGCAGTGTGTCGCTAGTGTTGGGGTGTGTCATTAGTTTTGGGGAGTGTCATTAGTGTTGGGGAGTGTCATTAGTGTTGGGGAGTGTCATTAGTGTTGGGGTGTGTCATTAGTGTTAGGGTGTGTCATCAGTCTCGGGATGAGTCACTAGTGTTAGCGTGTGCCACTAGTGTTGGGGTGTGTCATCAGTGCTAATGTGTGTCGACAGACCTGAGCCAGCGGCGCGCTCCCTGCTAATCCTTCAGCGAGCGCGGTCACCCATCCAGTGTGGTGCAGAGAGCTCGCGTGTTGTAGTAGACCTATCACAGTGTCCGCACACTCTTGGGAGTTTAACTCGTTGTCCACTAATTCGATTTCGTGGGAGTTTTCCTGGGAGGAATGGTTGATGTTATTTTAAACTTCGATACCTTTATGCGCAAATTGTCAAAATCGTAAGTTGTCAAATTCGCAAATTGTCAAATCGCCAAAATGTCAAATGCGCAAATTTTCAAATTCGCAAAATGTCAAGTTTTCAAAATGTACAGTAGGTTTAATAATAAAAGTAAAATTATTAATTGGCAGAACTTTTAATCATTTTGCAATTTGCGAATTTGGCAGATTGTGACCGCTTGACAATTGGCGAATTTGACAATTTGCGCATAAAGGCTTCGATGATAATATGCATATTTTCCAATCATCGAACTGATGAATAAAATTGGCCTATTGACAGCTTCTGTATGGGAAATATGTCAAATTGACAATTTTATTCCAGTAAGCTGAAGTGGCAATGGGCAGGGCACATAGTACACAGAACTGATAGCAACAAGGCTCTGGAATGAAGGCCATTTACCGGAAAACGCAGCGTGTGACGTCCACCCGCAAGGTGGACCGACGACCTCATAAAGGTAGCAGGAAGGCGCTGGATGCAGGCCGCTACCAACCGGGCGAGATATGTATAAATCATTGGGGGAGGCCTATGTTCAGCAGTGGACGTCCTGTGGCTGAAATGATGATGTTGATGATTTATTTTAAAACTAACTCACCGGAGGCTCCTCATCAGTATCCATCAGGTCAAACTGCAGTGGGTTTTCTGACAGAGTCCTCAGAAACATCCTAGTTCTGGTAGTTCTACTGGCACTAGTAGCGCTAGTCCGACCGGTAGGACTGTCGACCACTGTGTGGATTGTCTTTTGTTGCGACTGGAATGGAATTTTAAACATTACAGGGGGCGTAGTGTGAGTTTACGTCAAACACATTTAATGTCTACTGCGTAAAAAAGTGACATTACGTGACGGATTGTACAGCGCCCATAGCGGAAACTTTCATGAACTAAAATCTATACTTCCATACTAACATTATAAATGTCTATACTTCTATACTATTTATACTAATATAACAAATGCGTTAGTCTGTCTGTCTTGCTTTCACGCCTAAACCGCTGAACCGATTTTGATGAAATTTGGTAGATATAGTCACTGGAAAGGACAAAGGATAGTTTTTATCCCGGGTTTTGAAACAGGGACGCGATAAAGTTTTTCTGTGACAGACAAAATTCCACGCGGGCGAAGCCGCGGGCGGAAAGTTAATCTTCATATATTTTTTACGCGTTCGCTAGTGACGATGTTTGATGTAAACTCACACTAAGCTGAGGGCATAATTGAGTCAGTGCTTGAAGTATGGGAGCGGCACGGAAGAGGTGAACGGGTGACATATGACATGAAAGAACATACAACCAGGCCTGTTCATCTCCGCGAGTTTACATCGAAAACAAAACACGCACGATGGCCCACCTACAGGATACTATTCGACAAGGCCTCACATACGAGCGAACATTGACTCACGCACGCGTATTCTTGTGTATGATGGAAGAAAATAAAGAAAATGGTGTACTAAATACTGTGCAGTATTTAACTGCCTAAATAATAATAAAAACAGAATGTACTTTTTTAAGTTGCCTCAAGACACTGAGAGGTAAATAAGTAGTTAATATTATTCATGATAATTCATGCTAAATCATGTATTTCCTCCGCCATTTTCCGCAGTTTGGCACCTCACGTCATATAATTTTACCGAAGTCAGCCCTATAGCTTCGGCGCAGTGCCGATCACTGACGTTTGCCAACAAAATGGTGCTTGACTCTTGAGACAAGCTAAACTACACCATATTGTTAATGACATTGAGCATACATTTTTTTAAATACCTTCGCGAAGTAAAACTTCTGTACGTAGTACTTATTATTATTCTGTGATACAAGTCTGAAGCACATCTGAAGTCTTGCTGACATTTGACGTAACGAAAGCACCGTTCACCATTCGTGCCGCTCCCATACCATTTACTCAGTTAAGTGGTAGACCTCTACCCCCTTACTAATAAAAGTTACTCGGTTTTTGGACACTTAATTAAAGAGACATTTAGTATAAATAAATAAATAAATATCCCTGGACATTTAAACTGCGCTTCTAGTCCCAAACTAAGCAAAGCTTGTACTATGGGTACTAGACAACGGAAATAAACATACTTAAATACTTTTTTTTTAATACATACATATTATACATAGAAAACACCCAGTCCAATACAAACAAAAATGTTCATGCACACACATGTTTGTACTGTGCGGGAATCGAACCCGCTACCTCCGGAATAGTAGTCCGTTGCGGACCAATACACCAAACGGCCGACGTATGGTATGGAAATGTCATTTTAAAGTACTGTTCAACGCTTGTGTAACTTTTTATTCGTAAGGGGGGGGGGGGCTTGCCACTACAAACTGGTCGCAGGCACCAATCTACAGATGGCGCTGATACAAGCTTACTGTGACACGCGCCTCCGCGCCTACAAACCTGCATCGCGGTAGTAAAGATTTCAAGATTTTTAATTGTTTGTATATAGGCTATTTTATATAAAACCTCTCTTTTTTTGCTCTCTTTCTCTCTCTCTCTCACACACACACTAACCCAAGTCATCTTCAAAGGCAGCTTCCACTGTTGCTCGCAGTCGAACAGCTTCTCCCATACGTTGCGCCTGAACAGAAACTGATAGAACTTCGCCTCCGGCCGCATGATCAATATGGCTGCGCAGAGACACTTGTAGTTCGCCACTTGGAATTGTCTGTGGACAAATACAGAGTGTAGAAACAGACATATTTTTAACTAGTGACCCGCCCCGGCTTCGCACGGATGCAAAGAATACATATAAACCCTCCTCTTGAATCACTCTATGTATTTAAAAAACCACATCAAAATCCATTGCGTAGTTTTAAAGATCTAAGCATACATAAGGACACAGCGGAAAGCGAATTTGTTTTATACTATGTAGTGGTTTATTTGCAACTCAACTGAAAGGGATTTGACTACATTTTGTCGTTCTAATGCTGACTATTAGGGAGCGTTTCTCGAGGTCATTTTGGTGATAGGTGATCGGCGTAGTATATTCTGGTAAACAATATCATCATTTCAGCCACAGGACGTCCACTGCTGAACATAGGCCTCCCCCAATGACTTCCACTTCGCACGGTTGGCAGTGACCTGCATCCAGCACCTTCCTACTACCTTTATCAGGTCGTCGGTCTACCTTGTGGGTGGACATCCCACGCTGAGTTTTCCGGTACGCGGCCTCCACTCCAGAACCTTGCTGCCCCATCGGCCGTCAATTCTGCGTACTATGTGCCCTGCCCATTGCCACTTCAGCTTGCTAATCCGTCGGGCTATGTCAGTGACTTTAGTTCGTTTACGGATATCCTCATTTCTGATTTGATCTCGTAAAGCAACACCGAGTATAGCCCTTTCCATAGCACGCTGTGCAACTTTGAGCTTCTTTAAGAGGCCTATAGTGAGAGCCAGCCTCTTCTGTAAGAAAGGTGTACGTTTACTCTACTGGATCTCTGACTGAGAGAATCCTACCAACCTGTAGGCCTCCTTGAGTTCGGGCGCGGCGGGCCGCGGGCAGGCCTTGTCGCGGGAGGCCGCGCAGACCCCGCAGGCGCGCTTCATCAGCAGAGACGGCTGCAGGAGACACTTCTCTACACGCTGGTAGAGAGACGACTTATTTTGGAGCGTCATTCTAATACTGGACGTCTATTTCTCTCTGCTCGATGGACTGATGGCTGCAGGAGAGACCGCTTTACATTGTGGTAGAGAGACTTGACTAGTTGTGTAATTTTATCGCGGGCGGCGTAGTGGCGAGTAGTAGTTGTCCTAAGTCGGGACTCTGAAGGAATTATAAGCGCGGCCAGTTCGGGGATGGGTGACCGGTAAGTCTGTGACACTTTTTGAATCTACCCTGCTTCGTCCAGTAGAAGTTTGCCATAGATAACTGACAGTCACTGTCAAAAACCGGGCGATCGTGTTCTGTGGTGCTTCGTCGTCAAGTCTGAGACTGTAGAAGGCAGATTGTGAACCAAGCAGCGTGCTCTACAATGGGGTCAACTGACAAGCATTAAGACCGCCCTCATGCTACTGACCTGTAGGCCTCACTGTAGCGCCATCCTGGTGATGACAGTGACTTTATCTACAGTGGCGCCGTAGAAATTACTGACCTGTAGGCCTCCTATCCTAGTGACTGCAGATGCGATAGTCGTCCTACCACTGTCTTCGCCACTAGCAAGTGACAGCGATCAGTAAGACCATAGCCCTCATGCGACTGACCTGTAGCGCCATCTTGGTGATGACAGTGACCTTACTCTATAGTGGCGCCATCTTAGTTTAAATACGATAGTCTTCTTAAAACTTCAGCGCTACTCAGGCGCCACTGTCTTCGCCACTAGCAAGTGACAGCGACCAGTAAGACCATAGCCCTCATGCGACTGACCTGTAGGCCTCCCTGTAGCGCCATCTTGGTGATGACAGTGACCTTGCTCTAAAGTGGCGCCATCTTGGTTTAAATGCGATAGTCTTCTTAAAACTTCAGCGCTCACCAGTTGGCGCCACTGTCTTCGCCACTAGCAAGTGACAGTGACTTTGTTCTACAGTGGCGCCAACTGGTGAGCCCTCACGCGACTAACCGGTAGGCCTCCTTGAGTTCGGGCGCGGCGGGCCGCGGGCAGGCCTTGTCGCGGGAGGCCGCGCAGACCCCGCAGGCGCGCTTCATCAGCAGAGACGGCTGCAGGAGACACTTCTCTACACGCTGGTAGAGAGACGACTAATTTTGTCGCGTCTTTCTAATACTGGGCGTCTCTCTTTCTGCTCGATGGACTGATGACTTCAAGGAGATAGCTGGCAGTCGAAAAGCGAGAAATAGTGACCTAACTCTACAGTGGCGCCATCCTAGTGACTGCAAACGTGACAGTCCTCCTACCGCTTTAGCGCTCACCAGTAGGCACCACTAGCAATTGACAGTGACCTTACTCTACAGTGGCGCCATCTTAGTGACTGCAAATGCCACAGTCCTCCTACCGCTTCAGCGCTCAGTTGGCGCCACTGTCTTCGCCACTAGCAAATGACAGTGACCTTATCTACAACCCTCATGCTACTGACATTTCGGCCTCCTTGTAGCACTATCTTGGTGTAAATGCGATAGTCCTCCTGCCAGTTCAGCGCTCACCAGTTGGCAGTGACCTTGCTCTACAGTGGCGCCAACTGGTGAGTGTAAATGCCATAGCCCTCATGCTACTAAAGCCTGGTCTGTGAGCACGTAGAATTTTGTCCAATGATCCCAAGCTACCCATCCTTATCGCTCGCGCGTAATTATATTGCTGTCGCGACTGTGCGACGGGCGCCCGCAGTGAGTGTGCGAGCGCGACAGCTACAAGGATGTGTAGCTTGGGGTCATTGGACAAAATTCTAAGTGCTCACCGACCAGATTGATTTTGATTCATGACCAGATTGATCCAGATTGATCATGATTGATTGGCTGTAATGATGCTGTATGAAGCAGTATCAATAGAAACCAACCTGTAGGCCTCCTTGAGTTCGGGCGCGGCGGGCCGCGGGCAGGCCTTGTCGCGGGAGGCCACACAGAGTCCGCAGGCTTGCTTCATCAGCAGAGACGGCTGCAGGAGACACTTCTCTACACGCTGGTAGAGAGACGACTAATTTTGTCGCGTCATTCTAATACTGGGCGTCTCTCTTTCTGCTCGATGGACTGATGACTTCAAGGAGATAGCTGGCAGTCGAAAAGCGAGAGATAGTTAACTTACTTTACAGTGCCAGTGGCGCAATCCTAGTCACAGTAAACGAGATAGCCCTCAAGCTACTGACCTGTAGGGCTCCCTGTAGCGCCATCCTAGTGAATCACGGTGACCTTAGTCTACAGTGGTGCCATAGCCCTCATGGTACTGACCTGTAGGCCTCCCGGAGCTCGGTCGGGAGATTTCTTGGGGAAAGTTTACATCCAGTAGTAGCTATTTCGTCTATAGTCTGGTCTGCGAGCACGTAGAATTTTGTCCAATGACCCCAAGCTACCCATCCTTATCGCTCGCGCGTAATTATGTGGCTGTCGCGCTCGCACACTCACTGCGGGCGCGCGTCGCACAGTCGCAATATATTTACGCGCGAGCGATAAGGATGGGTAGCTTGGGGTCATTGGACAAAATTCTACGTGCTCACAGACCGGGCTTTAGTAGTAGCTTTTTTGTCCAGTTGCAGCGGTGGGAATAGTCTCGTCCTGTGGTAGTCTCTCGTTGGCTGAAATGGTGCTGTATGAAGCAGTATCAATAGCAACTAACCTGCAGGCCTCATTGGTTGGGCTTTTGAGGCGGTCAAGCTGTAGATCCTGGCTACACAGGAGTTGCAGCGGTGGGAACGAGAGGTGGGAATAGTCCCGTCCCGTATTAGTCTCTCACTGGCTGCAATGATGCTGTATGAAGCAGTATCAACAGCAACTAACCTGTAGGCCTCATTGGTTGGGTTATTGGCGGTCAAGCTGTAGATCCTGGCTACACAGAAGTTGCAGTGGTGGGAAAGAGAGGTGGGAATAGTCCCGTCTACCTGTAGGCCTCCTTGAGTTGGGGCGCGGCGGGCCGCGGGCAGGCCTTGTCGCGGGAGGCCACACAGAGTCCGCAGGCGCGCTTCATCAGCAGAGACGGCTGCAGGAGACACTTCTCTACACGCTGGTACAAGATAGACTCTTCAGACTTGAGAGAGGCGAGTGGGATCTGAAAAAAGTTGTGTTTATACTCTTTTGACAGTTAAACTATAACTATAGTCAAACGATTTTGAAAAGTCAAATGGAAAAAATAAAAAAATAACCCAGTATTGATAAAATCAAAATCAAAAATATTTTGGCACTTATTAACGTCAAACCAAAAAAACCTTTTGGACCTTACCTGTGCAGCGCTTCGAGACAAACAATATGGCAAGGGCTAAGAAGAAACGCCGGAACACACTCATAGATAGTAGCGCCCTCCGGCAAATTTCATAATTATTATGGTTCTCCAACGTGACAAATATCGGAACTAATAATGCAGTATTGATAGTAGCGCCCTCTTGACATCAATGTATAATATTATGTATATCTTAAGAAAGAGGCTGACCAAAGTGACTGAGTTTCTTGCGCTGACACTTTTTTCACATCCTAACGTAGAAATTGTTACTTTTTCACACTAACCTTCTCAAAAGCCATAGTGACGAGTGTATAGCACCTGGCCTGTTCTCTCAACATCTTCCTTAGCTCGTAGCTATCGCTCTCGCCCCGGCTCCGCTTGCTAAGCGTCGCTAGTAGCTTGCTTACTATGTTAGAGAAGAATTGCTCGCAGAATGATGAGGTTGAGTATCTGTTAATAATTTATTAAGGCTGAGTTGCACCACCTAACTTTAACAGTAACTATAACGATAACCGGTGTGTTTTGTATAGAGTTTCACGTTTGATAAACTCAAAGGCCCAGAACAGACGGTGAAACGCAACTGCAACGAAACTGCAACTTTCTGATGATTCTGATGAATGAAACTGAAACTGAAAGTTTTAAACTGGTCGCGTCATGTGTGGTCTCTCAACGGACGCTATGGCAGAAACTTAGATGCAACTCAAAAGTAACTAGCAGTTGCAGTTTCGTTGCAGTTGCAACGTCTGTTCTGGGCCTAACAGTAACTATAACGATAACCGGTGTGTTTTGTATAGAGTTTCACGTTTGATAAAGTCAAACTGTCAAAGTAAGATGGTGCAACCCCGCCTAAGAATGTTGTATGTTTGCGGCAGAGTAGTATTAAGAGGTAAACGTGAAATACCCGTTTAACGCATATACTGACAGTTTTCATTCAAGGCCTTCGTCTAAAGTGTAATCTCACATACCTATAACGTATATAAAACGTTTATGGGCAAATTGTCAAATTCGCAAATTGTCAAGCGGTCGCAATGTGCCAGATTCTCACTTTGTCAAATTCGCAAATTGTCAAGCGGTCGCAATGTGCCAGATTCTCACTTTGTCAAATTCGCAAATTGCCAAATTCTCACTTTGTCAAATTCGCAAATTGCCAAATTCGCAAAATGTTAGGTTTTAAAAATGTCTTTATATTACGGTTTTATGGTTTCATATTTAAAAAAACCTTAACGTTTTAATGATTAAAGTTCTGCCAATTAATTACTTGATTTTTATTATTAAAACCTAAACAACTGGTCATTTTTAAAACCTGACATTTTGCGAATTTGACAAAATGAGAATTTGGCACATTGCGACCGCTTGACAATTTGCGAATTTGACAATTTGCGCATAAACGATTTTATATTTGTCAACTTTCAGAACGTATGGAAAAACTAAGCCAGTGGTCTAGTTCGGAGTGCCTCACTGTTCTTGCGCTTATTCGGTTCCTAGGCGTTACAAATCTATCAATCAGATAAGAATATTTAAGAGTTCGTGACGTCACTTGTGACGTTATTACCTGAGCAATGGCACGAGCAGCCGCTTGCAGACCGCCAGCGAAGGATTCTCGAACAATATATTGGCGATTCTGCACATGTAACAAATTCAAATTCAGTTATTTAAATACACAAGTAAATATTGGATATATCGGTTATTATACCAGCTTTCGTTATAATGCATCTTGACCTCAAATTAATAAACCATAGCCCCCTTATTAATAAAAAGTTACACCTAGGATGAACCCTGGATTAAAATGTCATTTCCATGCTAAATGACAATTTAAGCAAGAGTTCAACTAGGGTGTAACTTACATTAATAAGGGTTTAGATACAAGCGCAAGGCAAAATTTTTTGACTTACAATGTTATGAAAATCTATGCTAATATTATAAATGCGAAAGTAACTCTGTCTGTCTGTCTGTCTCTCTTTCACGCCTAAACCACTGAACCGATTTCGATGTAACTTGGCATACAGATAGTTTGAGTCCTGGGAAAGGACACAGGATTATATCCCGGTTTTTGAAACAGGGACGCGCGCGATAAAGTTTTTCTGTGACAGACAAAATTCGCCGCGGACGGAAAGCTAGTTTTACAATATAGTTTAGGACTAGAGGCGCAGTGTAAAATGTCCAACGTATTTTTATATATTTGTGTGCAACTGTGTACTCACGACGACCTGATAAAGGTAGCAGGAAGGCGCTGGATGCAGGCCGCTACCAACCGTGCGATGTGGAAGTCATTGGGGGAGGCCTATGTTCAGCAGTGGACGTCCTGTGGCTGAAATGATGATGATGATGACGATGATGTGTACTCACTCAGGCCAAGGAGGATGCGATCTCCTCCTCCCACCAGCCTTTGGCTCAAGGCGGAGCGGAGCGGAGACGAGAGATGTGCGGCGAAGCTGCCAGGCTAAAGCGGAGCGGAGAAGAGACGAAATGTGTGAATTGTGCGTAGTTGTCAGCTGTCAGTGTATTAGTGTCTATAAAAGGCAAACACACTCGGCACCGCTCCGCTCCGCACAGCTCCGCTCGACAAAAATGAGTCCGCGCGACACTTCTCCTCTCTTCTCCGCTTGATCCATTTCCATCGAAGCGGAGCGGAGAGATGTGTGAGCTGTGCGTAGCTGTCAATCTATGACAGGTAAACACACTCCGCACGGCTCCGCTCCGCAATGATCGGCTCTGCTCCGCATTACTCTGCTCCGCTCCGCATCACGTTGCGCCGTCTCACTCTTCTCCGCGCGATTCATTTACACTGAACCGGAGCGGAGAGGAGTTGCGGAAATAATGGTTATTGAAAACACTTCTCAGCTCCGCTCCATCGCTCCATCTTAATAGTTTGGAAACAACTCGCAGTTAGGCGGTTATCACACTGCGCCGCGCTCCGCCGCGGTCCGCGTGATTTCATATAAAAAATCCCGCGCGCAGACGCGTTGTCAGTGTGTTGTGCCGCGCGTGTTTTCTATACAAACTGAGGTACTTGCATATAATTATTAAATCTGTCGTCCCGCGCTCCGCGGCGGAGCGCGGCGCAGTGTGATAACCGCCTTATTGTGTGTGTGTACTCACGTCAAAACCTTCACCTCCCTCGTGTGTATGACACGCCCGTCGCGCCACATCTGTAACCCACAGTCGCCGCGGCGCGCGACGTGGGCCAAGGAGGATGCGATCTCCTCCTCCCACCAGCCTTTGGTCTGGTCACCTTGAAGAAAGTAAAATCATCATAAGGTTATTTAAGGTTATATAGTCTGGTCTGCGAGCACGTAGAATTTTGTCCAATGACCCCAAGTTACCCATCCTTATCGCTCGCGTGTAATTATGTTGCTGTCGCGCTCGCACACTCACTGCGGGCGCCCGTCGCACAATCGCGACTTGGGGTCATTGGACAAAATTCTACGTGCTCACAGACCGGGCTTTAGAAGTTTTATAGCCACGAGAGCCGAACGGTGAAGGGGTCGGGGCCGACTCGAGATCCGAGGAACGCGGGTTCGAATCCCACCGCCGCTCGACTATTGTGGTGAGCCCACTCCTAACACAAGTTTATTTAGCTTAACACGAGGGGCTAATGGGACTATTAGTAATTTGGACAATACAAATTGCTAATAATGTTTAAAAAAAGACATCAACTCGGAAAGGAACCAACACCGTATAGCCTTTTACGAGCTGTCATCGTCTTTCGCGCGCTGTTCACCGCGAGGCGAGGCGTTTACTTTACGGTGCGGATAAGTGTGCGTTGAAGTATGCAGTTTCATACAAAGAATACTGATCGCCTCGAGTTGATACGGTTACGATCCCTTTCCGGGTTGATAAAATGTGTTACGGCCTTATATTTCCACTGTAGAACGATACTAATTTACAAAATTTTTAAATGCATTTTGGGCTACATTAAATACGCTAGCAAGACGGGTTGAGGAAGCCGTTCTTCTCAGTCGGTACACTCTCGAGTGGTCGTGGTCATCATTGTGAATCACGATGAGTGATGTTCCTCGTAATACGGCGCCATTCCTCGCGGACTGCAGATTTCCGGGTACTTTTGCTAACCGAGCACTTAGTTGCGGCCTTGATCTGGTCCGTCCATCTCATTGGTGATCTACCACGTACCAAGGAAGTCTTATGTTCACATATTTGTTTCTTAGTCGCCCCTTACGATATTAGAAGGGAATGTCGGCCAAATCCTTCATTTCTTCTGGTAGATTAGAGATTGGCGAGCCCTTGCATCATCATCACGTCCATAGCTGAACAAAGGTTGCCTTGTTTTAGGGTAGATATACCCAACATTGATGAAACAAACGCTAGCCGTAACAGCGCATTACACTTGAAAATTTCGACGGGTTCATCCAGTATCTAACGCCCGTTTTCTCCATCAATCCCTAATTTTTAAGTGACCCCTGTGAAAACAAAATTCATATTATGTGTTACCATAGGAGTCAGTTAAAAATTAGGGATTGATGGTGAAAACTGGCATAAAGTAGCTCAGATGGAAGAGCAATCGCCCGGCAAGCGGAAGGTCGTGGGTTCGATTTCCGCCTTAGGCAGTTCGATTTTTTCAAGTTATGTGTAATTTACAAAGGCTGCCTTGTCTGCACTCTTCTCTTTTCGAACTCTGCGACACTCACCAGCTGAGGTTTAGATCTCTTGCTCGGTGGACCGACGATCTGATGAGGGTCGCGGAAAAGACCAGTTGTGGATTTCCTTGGGGGAGGCCTATGTCAAGCAGTGGACGTTTTTTGGTGAACGATCGAACTAGTAACTCTTACATTCCGCAAAATAAAGTTCCTCTGTGGTTGAGGATTCCTAGTAAAGGGCTACCTAAGTTAACTGCGACAAACGTTACTTCGACACTACACTACTCAGACAAAGGATATTCGCCTTTTCGCCATCAGTAGTGTCGGAGTAACGTAATGTCGAAGTAACGTTTTTCGGAGTTCAGTTTTTGAGCCTTAGTGAAGCTCGAAGCCTGATCATCACTTGCCATCAGGTGAGATGCAGGCCAAGAGCTTCCTCGTAGTGGATAAAAAAACTAATTGACTCACATTCCGCCATTTTGGCTATGATGTCTAGAAGCGTGACGTCAGCGGTCGAAGCGAAAGCGTCCAGGATGGCTTGGAACGCGTACTGCGAGGCGCCTGATAGCTCGGACAGTCTCGCAGGCAGTCGGGAAGCGAACGACTTGTATGCAGCACTAAAAAAAGAAATAACGGTCAAGTGCGAGCCGGACTAACACTATACACAAACATTACTATGAAGTCTCACAGTGCGTGTGGACGCACAGAGTGACACACGAACCAATCACAGGGCTCTATTCTACGCTGTGCGTTCTATTTGCTGCTTCAGTTAAGCAAGCATCGTTTGTGAATACGGGCGTAAAACTTTTCCAAATTAAAAATTGGATATTTGACACCATTCACCAAGCTAAGTAATAAGTGCCCTTTCCCAAAGCACAGCAATCCAGTTTTGCGGGATGCTACAGGACTTGTGAGATCACATGACAGCATCCCGCTTTTTGCGGTACAGCTGTTTGCCAAAAATTTATAAAAACTAAAAAAACTCATAAAAAAACTCAGCAGAGAGCTGCTAGTGGTATCACTTCTATTTTAAACAATACTTGTAAATTGTAATTAAATAAACTGGACCTTTTTTACTGAGGGCTGAGTTAGTCACTCAGCCCTCAGTAAAGAAGTCCAGAGCGCGTAAGATTTTAGTTCTTGAAAGTTTCCGCTAGGGGCGCTGTACAATCCGTCATACATTTAATGTCATTTTTTACGCAGTCGCTAGTGAAGACGTTTGATATAAACTCACACTAAGCCCACTGTAAGTGCCTATTCACTCTCACCTTGATTCTTTGTATAGTCACGGAATGAAAAGGTTCGTCAGTTTTCAAATTGATTCCTTCAACGAATCGCGAGCACATATTACCTTTTGAAACTATGTTACAGAATAATCTCGAGTTAGAGAAAATAATCTTTAACTGTTTATTAGTATTAGTGTTAGTATTAGTCGGCCGTTTGGTGTAGTAGTTCAGAACGGACTACTATGCCGAGAGGTCCCGGATTCGATTCCCGGCCGGGCAGAAATTGAAATGATGAATCTTAATTTCTGTGACGGGTCTGGGTGTGACTATGTATAATATTTATGTATTTAAAAAAAAAGTATATAAGTAGTATATCCGTTAAGCTAGCACCCATAGCACAAGCATTAAGTTGCTTACTTTGGGGCTAGCTGGCGCTGTGTGAAATTGTCCAAAGATTTATTTATTTATTTATTTACTGTTCGTCAGTAAAGTTCAAAATTATTCAGATCAAAGTTGTTTGACGATTTAACTTGTCAAGAAGATTATTATGATTGATAAACTAAAACCTTCTTGTTGGTTCAACCTGCCATTATCTATTAAATAAAAAAAAACTACATTTTGTAACATTGCACTGCTGCACATTGCAAACTGCGCGACGACACGTGCGGGGTGGGCCGCAGACACCGTCATCAACTTCTACCACCGCTGGGGGCTAAAGTGTAACGTAGACAAAACGGAGTGTGCCATGTTCACTCACAAAAGAAACTACCGCAAAACCATACGAATCAGAGGCGAGGTAATCGAATACAAAAACAGTATAAAATATTTGGGCGTACACCTAGACAAGACCATGACCATGGGCAAACAGACGGATTACGTCGTCCAGAAGGCGCGACGAACACGCAGTGCGCTGGCCCCTATAATAGGTTGGCACTCCAAGACGGATCTGACGGTGAAACTTGCCGTCATTCAGGCCTGCCTACTTCCTATACTGGACTACGGCGTGGTACAACTGCTCTCACGCTACAGTAAGAGCAATTTGTTGAAAATTGAACGCCAATATCGATTGGCCCTCAAGACAGCTGGACAGTTCCCAAGACGTCTAGAGACCGCAATTCTCTGGGATATGCTAGACTGGGATCCATGGCAACTTCGTGCACAAGATTTGAATGAGGACATGCTGCGCCGACTTGACGAAATGCACATCGAGGATTTAGAGACCCCGGGAGACGCCTATTTCAGATACGGACAACACAATCCTCTCCTGACTAACACTAGACTAGGCGAAATAAGTTATGTACCAAAAAAAGATAGGAGTCGGCTGCTCAGTAAGCGAGCAACCGCTCCTCGTCCCCATAGATTATAGTCATAGATACAATACGAAACAACATTATAAAATTATATAAATTTATTTTGTAACTACACACTAATAAGCACAAAGCACGCATTACACGACACTTATACAGATT